AGTGTCCATAAGTGAGGTGACTTTTTAGAATTTTTATTCAATCACACTTATCTTATTTATTTCAAATTTTAATACGAACCACGGACTGGTTCGAAACATGTCGATAATCGAAAAAATTCGACTTAAATACCTGAGTCATCCGTTACTTTAGCTAATATGTCTCAGCCCTTTGGTGGTTTCTTATTTAAATTGACTTTACTTTCTCAAGATTTAAGAATGGTTACACACTCCATAGTCAGAGATTGACTGGCCAATGGCATTAAGTACTGTTGAGAAAACAATTAAGCCATATCGTGATAAAAAAAAAACCATGTTTTACAAATTCATGACTTTTTTTCATTACATTGAGTCTTTTTCTTAATAGGCTCTTTACATTTTGCGCAAAGCTGGTCACTCTTATTTTTCTTAAACAAATACAAATTAAAATCTTGTCGCAATATTTTTCTATACATAGATTCTCTAACTACACTCAAGTTTTTCCCATTACAATCGTTTATGTACATCATGTACATTTGTTTTATAGTCAAATTTGGTTCCATGTATTGTTTTTTTCTTGAGAATTGCTTGATTGGTAAATTATCAGCTGTTCGAAATGATAATATATGGCTCCTCACCTGATCTTTCACCGCTGACGGCAGGCCGTGAATACTGGTAGCAGATAATCCCCTCCCGTCTGGTTTTGGAATATTCAAATCTGTTTTACTTAAATGTACATTGTATATGGGTTTTTGCGATATAGCTAAAGTTCCTAAATAAAAGTTCTTACACACTGTATGTCTTACACCTCTTATAAGGAAGAAATATTTGAAGGAATATTGTCTTTTTGTATTTGTGTCCATTTTCATCCTCTTTGTACTATGTCTTTCTGTAGTGTTGAGCAAAAAGTGCTTTTTTTCATTAGCTGTGAGTGAATAAAATGCTTTGAAAATTAATTCTCTGTCTGCATCACTGATTTTATTATTGCATTTCAACCTGCAGTTTGTTTTGCAATTTTTTGTATTTCTAACATGTTTTTCTGGGACATATTTCCCTCTTCTACTAACATAGGCTTCGCCATTTTGATGTTTCACTTTACGTACATTGCAGGCCCATTTGGTTGGATTACGTACCAAACTTCGACTTCGTTTTTTTGTTGAACTTATTTCTATGTTGTTTTGGTTCATTGCTTCTGTTTCATGCCTGGAAAAGTAAAAGCCCAGAAATTTTTTATTTCTAAAATAATGTGTTTTTACGATAGGTTAGGATATTTTAAAAGAATACATAAAGAAACATAAACTCACTTTTAGGCTTGAATTACACATGAGTGCAAAGGCAGTGGTCATTGATACTAAAGCAGCAGTCATAGTTTTTTTTCCTTATAATACTGTAAAACATGTGCAATAGACAAAATGGTGACCATGTAGTAATTCAACCCCCATTCTTTTCAGAAGTGATAAAATCATTATAAAAAGTATTCGACAGAATAAAAAGGAACAGACTAGAACTAGAAAAAGACGACATTCTTTTTATTTCCTTTTGGTGTCTTTAACAAAAAAAAAATAAAATTTACTTACTCTGTCGGATTATTCATACAAATTTCCTGAGTAGCTTCAAACTTAGCAATAGACGGCTCCTTTGCAAAGGTGCCATACTGGCCGTAATACTGAGTGGCATCCATCAACACGTGTTGCTTGAACATGGGATGGGGTAGAATCATGTGCGATGCAAATTGAAGTGCTTGACTTACATCAGTTTGTAGTACCTGAGATGTGAACAGAGAATAAATGTTAGTACCTAACTTACATTTTTCAATGACCAACACGCCCAGATTCCTGTAAGAACTTTACGCTTTGCAATTTAGCTCTTACAAAATAGGGATGTACACAACACACACACATAAAAAAGTTTGACATAAGGTGGGGTTTCCTTTACAATAAAGTTTCGCGTACTCTGTTCGTACTTCTGCAATACTGTATTATTGTATAAAGGTAGCTAGTATCCAGAATATGTTCAATTTTGTTGTGAATAAGACACCAAACTTCGCTTTTGTTACGATAAACAATAATACATTTTTGTTTATTTTAACAAACAATTTTAGATCCGTGAGTAATTTCATTTTGTATATGTGGGACAACCGCGAAACCTAAGAACTCAATGAGTACATGAATCAGTATAGTAACTTAGCGGTAAGAAGTTAACGTACCTGGGATTGCATGGTAGAAGTAGTGTTATGGAGTTGTGTTTCACAAGTTATTACGATATTTTCGGAGACAGGCAAAGACGCCGGTTGGACCTCTTGCTGGTATGTCACCTTGGCTTGTGCCTCCGATAGCGGCGGGTGAGAAATATGAATTAGTTGCGAGTTTTGCAACTTTGCTTCAGACGTTTGATATACTTGAACAATATGCGGCATACTTGGCCCTTGCATTTGCTCCATCTTTCTTACTTTTTCTTTTTGTTGTCGACAGTCACAACGAAATATTGTTTCATTAATATTTTAAAGGCGAAACAACGAAAAATACACGACGAAAACAATCCCAAACAAAACTAGTATAAGTGGTATGTGAACAAAACGTCATTGTTACTTTTTTGTTTATAGGGGCATTGGCTAACGGGATTCAATGTTGCTTTGCCACCATAGATTTAATATATGGATATACTAAATCTATGTTTGCCACCAATCGCGGGCGAGCTCCGAATTAAGGACTATCCACACACATCAGGGCCGTGCCCGGGACGTGGCCGGGGCGTGCTAGTTTGTATGAGCTGCGGGCCCGTGCCGGCCCCGGCCCGGACACGGACATGTGTGAATGAGTTCATACAAAATATACGCAACGATATTTTTTTGAACCCCTGACGGAACACGGCCCGTCCACGTCGCAGACACGGCCCGGATGTGTGTAGATAGACCATTATACTCGTAGCGAAATTTGTGAAAATGTGCATGGTTCAATGTGAACGTATTTTAATGACAGATTTCAATTTATTATGCGGTCGGCTTTTTGCACTATCTGCCATACAAGCCTGCTACAGCTGATGAAATGAAAACTATTTTACAATACAATATTTAACCATTGATCTTCGCGACAGATAATTATAATATGATTGTTTTTAAAACACAAACAATGCTTGTTTTTCAGAAAAATTAAGTTGTGCATCCTTTAATAAGGTAAAGCGATATTTCTAGCCTGGGCAGCTTTCAACTCTGTACACAGTGCATGTTCGATCTTGTACGGAGTATTGTAGTCACCCGTGAGATGGCTCAGCGAAATACCAACTAGAAGCTCTTGACTTGTAGAGCTAGCACGACAGGATGCAACTTGCGTGAGAATGACATAAAGCACGACATCTTTAGAGCAGTATCTCGCGCTACAAGTCGCTCTCACACAAATCGCGCCCTGTCGTGCTAGCCGTACTGGTCCAACCAGAGCCAGGAAACTTATTGGGAGGCAATAAAGTCTGTCGGTTTTTTATAGAAAATACTTGGCAGCATACTCATGCTCAAAAGCTCTGTCAACTTATTCTGCCCGCCTCCCTTTTACCATTTCTGAACACATACAGCCCGAGTATCTTTAGGTGGGCCTGAATAGAGATCAAGCCAAAACCTACAAAGATAAGAATAGAGATCTTCTGAGCGAGGTCATACAATCGCGCACGCGCACGCATGCACGTAAGCACGCACGAATGCATGCACCCACGCACGCACGCACGCACGCACGCACGCACGCACGCACGCCCGCACGCACACACACACACGCCCACGAACAGTCACACAGATACTTTCAGTGAGATAATTAATTACTAGTTCTTAAATTTTACTACGCCATTTGAAGATTTGCTGGTACTTATAGCACAGGTTACCCTTTTTTAAGTACCAGCGGCCATATCTACTGATTCTTTATCCATATCTGCTATAGGGCAAGGTTTCATAAAGTGGACCATGGACCCCTAGTCCATGTAATGAACGCCAGGGGTTCATGGCGAGCCTACCTAACATAATGCACTTAGAATAATAACGCATAGAAACCTAGCCCGCACACGCTAAGTGAGGCAAATTAAAGCGCTCCCAAAGGGCCCACACGAGCGGGCGGGCCTTCAGTGCTCAAAGTCAACTTGCACCGCGAACAGCTCCAGAATTCTAGCTAAAAATGACGAAATGAGCGGTAAGTGAGTGTAAAAATACGTCAGACAAACATAAAATAGATACTAACATCACATTCCACAAGGAAGTAACGCGTTTCAACTTGTATTTTTATATATTCACTAAAACCTAAAATTAACCTACTAGTAAAACTAGCCTGCATGAATTTGAGTTTTACCTCACTTATGACAGTTCGTTTGATATGAAACTATCATTCTATGCGTTATTATTCTAAGATAATGCATTAATGGTACCTGTACTGTGCGCATGACCTTTTTGAATTTTCGCGCCCTTCCAACGGCCATCATTACCGGAGCGAGCGAGATGCGTGTCAATGCAACCTGCGAGTCTTTCTTCTTCTTCATGTTTTCCGAAAGAGTCTGTGGACTTTGAAATCTTGAGAGGGGTCCATGATTAGAAAAAGGTTAAAAACCCTGCTCTAAGGCTAGGTAATGGCAAGTCAATTTATTTAAAAAAAATCCTTTTAAATAAATAACAATATAATTTCAATAACAAAATAAAATTTTCATACACTTAATTCGAGTATATTTTGGTTAAATCACATTGGCAAAATACTTTTATATTCATTTCGTCATAGTAAAATGTAAAATACGATGAAGAACCAAATTGTAGTCACCTCAATTTCAATTATTGGCACATGTTTATCATTACTTTTTTTCATATAAAAGTGCAAATAATTAAAAAACAGTGCAACAATAGGCTACTTCTCTCTGTTTGAAATTTTTAAATCAATATCATACATGGCTAATTCTTTTTAATTAAATTAAATTTGTAAATACAATATATTCTTTTAAATGCTTATTTCAACACTGAATCTTATTATATTTAACAATAGTGAATGATCTATTTATATACGGAAAAACCATAAGTCTATTATGTGTGACGCGTGACTATTGTCTATTATATTCAATGGTGGGAATAGGGTTTTTCCAATGAGTATATAAATGTCTACATATAGATAGAAGGAATGACATGGAGCGGTTAAAATTACCAAATATTAATTAATTACTTTTTTCGAATTCCGGATTTCCATAGTTTTACTGCATCGCAGAGTAAAACTATTCACCTAGAATGCTGAAATTGGATTTTAAAGTAATTCTAGTCGCGCATTAGTTAAAACAAGCCTTTGCTTGTAGTTCTTAATATATGTGTACTTTGATGAAAGCTTACTTATTAACATCCAACTTCAGCTTTCGAGGTGAGTAGTTTTATCTTACTATGTAGTAGAATCATTTCCCGATTTTTCGTAGCAGTAGAGCTCCTTGTGAAAGCCACCTTACCTATTTCTGCTGCTAAGCAGTAATGTGAGAATTACTGCGTTCCGGTTTCGAAGGGTAAGGGTGCTGCTGAAATTACAGGCACATGGAAGTTGTCAACTTGTCTCAGGGTATTAAATCTTTGTGATTTAAAGTTCTGAGTGGTACTGCAACTGTTATGGATAGGCTGTACCTTACCATCAGGCGCACAATTTTGTTCATCCCGTCGTCGTCACTTAGTTATAATTAAAAAAACCCGAATTAAAAAAGTAATTACATAATATTTGGTGGTCTTAATCACTCCATGTCACTCCTTTTATGTGTAGACATTTAATTTTATCTAGTCATTTGGAACACCCTATTCCGAGCATTGATAATATTATACCTTAACAATATTTAAAATCGAAAAAGAATCGCGCATATCTGTGTAAAAAGTTCAAAACATCAAGCAATGTTCATTTCAAAACAAAATATACGCGATTTACATCCGAAATGTAAAATTGTGATTTTGTGATTATATGATAATACGATTCTATTTTGCGATTTGTGGCCAAAGTCACTTGGTTAAAAATATTGCTGTTTTATAGTAGGTATAGTAGTATGTAGTAGTGTATTGGTCATTCATTTGCGCTAATACTTAAAATATCTTGTTAAATGCATTATATTCGATAGAAGTCCGAAGTTTCGTTATTGATATATAAACGTCTCTATGTGCAATATCATTGGTTAGCCTTTATGTTCACTTTAACACTGAAATGTGTACTTTCTAAGCAAATTTTTATTCCTTTTTAAGGATTCATAACAACCACCTCGGGGTGACCACCTTTACAAAGCACCATGGCCTATTAACTCAAGCGGACTGATAATTGCAATGCAAGACAGCGTAGTAGTGTTTTAGTACCTATCAGTACACCAGATGACGCGACGAGTACCAAATAGCTATTATAATAGTATGTTACGCGATAACTCCCGCATTAGTGAACCGATTTTGATGATTCTTTTCTTGTTGGAAACAGGGTACCTCAGAAGATGATCTATTTAAATTTGAAGATAATATTCCATCTCTAAAGGTGGCAAACTAGGGGAGGAATGATTTTTGAAGTAGGTTTTTTGAGTACCCTTCTTCTTTTAAATGTTAGGGCTCCATTGAAATAATCGTTTTTCTCAAAAATTTACCGGTGAATTTCGACAGAATTCACTGAGAGGAGAATCTACAAATCTATAATGACAGATAACCTACACAGACTGTTACAGAAACTGAATGTACTGAGATTATTTAACTAATTTGTTTTACATTGACAAGCTGCATTTTACCAAAGGTATTCTATTTTCTAGTGATAACAAACAAATCAACTAGATGGCGCTTATTGCACAGTTTTTTATTAATAGTGCCAGCTATTTTTTTACTTTGTTTAAAATTAGCGCCATCTAGTTTGTAATACACAATACACCTATTGATAAGCATATATGTCACAGTACAGAAAATAATTTTAGCTTATGATATAATATTACAAAGGAAAAACTGACTTCTATAATATAAACTACTTCCAGGCCATTGATCAGCGCTATCTAGATATAAGAGGGAATTTTGACCTTTTTCAGAGTTACTATTTGTAGTATGGAAATTAGCAGTCCTCTACAGTTATTGGTCCATGGTTTGCACGGTAGGCAACGAAAGAACCCATTTAGATTTTTCATTTCGATTCAGAACCTTAGGCTCAACTCACACTGGCGCAGAGTCGAAGCGTTGCGACGCGTCATGTTTTTCGCCTATAGCATATTCATCTCTATTTCCCCATTATTAAGGTACAAATTTGTGTTATGCAAATATGGAAACACGCGTCGACACTCGATTAAAGTCGAGCGATTTCGCGCGTCGTCGTCGTGAGTTACTTGGCGCAGTGAGGCGTCTGACGCCGAACACACTGTGATCAGGGCGCATTAATGCGAGAGTCGTCGCGTTGTAGTTAAAAAACAGGACGCGACGCGACTTACGATAAATCAGTTATCGACCGATTTATTTTAATTTTTATTCACAACACCCAAATCGAACGTCAAACTGTCGTATTCGAAACCGAACCGAAATGACGTCACACCCGTACGATTACTCGAACTTCTCGGCCGGCAACGGCTACAACGTTATTCAGAACACAGTTATCGAATGAAAGTTAACGAACGTCCTATTGTTTACTAAGCAAGAATGTAATATGGAAATCCTTTATTACTTTAATATAAAGTCTGGATTTTGTTCAATTTTATTCATTAATTTTAATGCAAGACTAATGTATTCCCATATTTTAGACCTTTAAAGTCTTAAATGTATATAAAAGGATTTTCATTTTTCTTGTAACCTATTGCACTGACTAACTCCGAAAACGCTGTTTGATAACGATGTCGTATCCGAATGTTTAACTCGGAATGTTCTGAATAGCTCGGAAAGCGCCTTTCGATTCAAGAGCGACGTCCACTCGAACGATTCGGTTAAAATATCGAAGAGTCTGAATCGGGGTCCAGGGCCTTAGAGTGGATTCCGTCTAGTACTCATAGTAAAGGTAACCCCAGGTTTGTGACAAGTGTCTAGCACCTTATTATTATATAATCTTTTTCATAGACAAACATAACTCTAATGCTTTTCTAGCCAACCTATACAACAGTCATCGCATTATTTACCTTTTTTAAAGATATTCTATAACAATAATATTTAATTATATATTATATAATTTAGGCATTAGTTTTTAAACGAGTTAACTTAGAGAGGCTACACACGGTGCCTTTTAATAGCGGTAAAACGCGCGACAAAAGTCGCTTATGTTAGTTACATCATTAAAAATGTGCTCCCATTTATATCGCGATTTTTATCGCTGCTTAAGTCGTGCGTGTATGTAATGATAGACGATTAGCGACTGAATCGCGTTAGACGCGAAAAGTTCCCGTGTGTAACTGCTCTTAGCTTTAATCAAGTCCAATGTAAAACAATGAACAATTAATTTACTTTTGTGGTGTATCACCGTTAGATGGACTCTGTACGTTCCGATGTCTTTACGGTCATAGTTTACTTCAAAAGAACAATGTTATCTTTTCATTTTTATGTGTACTTATTACTATATCTAATTATTACTTGAGTGTTCAATTCTTGTCCACAAATTTACTTTCCAGGTAATGGTACACGTAGTCGTATACGACGAGCATTATGGCACCCCCCGGGCCGAGCCGCAAAACTTTTGGCACAAGACCTTTGTACAGGGCGCGGAATCTGAAAAAAAAAATATTGAAAATATGAGGAACTGGTTAAATGAATAGAAGTTTTAATAGTAGTAGAGCTCCTTGTGAAACAGTTCGTCGAGGGAAGTACTGCCACCTTACCTATTTCTGAGCATTACTGCGTTCCGGTTTTGAAGGGTGAGGGTGCTGGTGAAATTACAGGCACACGGGACTTGTCAGCTTATGCCGGGTGCAGTGGCAATGCCCCTCAGTTCTTTGCGGTTTAAAGCTCTTGAGTGGCACTGCACCTGTTATGGATAGGCGTGTCGCTTACCACCAGGCGCACGACTTGTTTGTCCCGTCACTTATTATTTAAAAAAAAATTGCAATGACGCTTCAAAAATTTGTTTAAATAGACAACGTTTTTGGAATATACTCCAAATATTTTTATTTCAAACTTAATTTTATTTCACAGTAATCTATTTGAAACTTCCGTTGCAATTAAAACTAAGTGTCATAGTCATAATAAATATAATTTCGGAAATCTCCCTTTCATTGGTTTTGCTTAACACGTTATATATACCTAATTATATTTTTCCTTACTAATTAAAGTACGGACAACGGCACATGAAGACTACTCATTTTTTGTTCGAAAATCGCCTCCAGTGCAGCGGAACAAGATACGTCAATGTGTAGCTTAATGTGCTGGCGTGTGTACAATAATAATTTGTTTTGTACTTTATAAAATTTAAAATTAAATACAAACTGACGGTGATTTTTTGAGTTCTCTAAAAATATAGTAAAATATTTTTGAAACTTTTGAACAGAGAACCTGGAATAGACGAAAACTGAAAAAAAGCTACAGACATTTTTTCGCGGTTTTTGGATTAGAATTTACATTGTATTTATTTTCATCCATTTATTGGTAAATCAATGGGCAATCTCTTCTGTCAAATACAAGTAAAACAATGCCACTGCACAATAAAAATTACTTTTGAATTGATTATTTTCCATCATCGAATTTACCGCGTCAAGTGCTCCACGAAATTACATGCATTACGTTTGTTTGAAAAAACAAATATACGCGATTTAAATCCGGAAAAATAGTTTCATTTCCTATACATGCATTACAATAGGAAATTTGATACATCCCGTTTTTAAGCTTCATGTACCGCTGGGACAAAACAGGTTACATGTGACAAAAAATATAAAAAAGGGTGCAAAAGGGCGCGAAAGCGAAAAATTTACAAAGCCAACCCACCAAACTACACCAGATTAGTTCTTTTTTTTAATTTTTACTCATTAAACATTTTTAATACTTTTTAATTTTTTTTATCATTAAACATTACGTAAATATCGTATCTTTAAAGTCGGAACTGTAATAATCTAATTTCATTTCATTTTAATTTTATTTTATTTTGCATGTGTTTGTATAAATGGAATTCTGTTTTTGAAATATTTCTTTGGAATAAAGGCTTATTATTATTAACTATCATAACCATTTCTCACAGATGGCGCTACGGCAAACAACTCGTTAAAAACGAAAAAAACCAAAGATCTGTAACAAGCATATAGAAGAATTTAAAGTCTGCTAGTTCGTTCCGAGGGTTAGTTGGCCAAACGTCCGGCACGGTTTTCTGGAAGACGTTGGTTCGAATCCAGTCCGATTAAAGGAATTATTTCTTAGTGTTCCATCTTCGATTAATAATTAGTAATAATTGTATATCATGGTAGTCAAACATCGTGACATTCAATAAAACTAAAAAATTACTATCATAAGCATGTGTTTTATTTTTAAAACAATAATGACACTACAGGGCGTCTCGCTCTGAGGGAAAATAATAATGGCCATGTTGTACACGATACAAGTAAGCAACTCTCACGACAGCTTTTGTTACAATCACTAAACTGACTGAATGAACCTAACAACCGCAAGTAGTTTGGCACATCTTCAAATAAGACAGCCGTAAATCTCAAAGTAATGACCCGGTGCGTTATATTTAGGATGTGTATCTTTTGAAATACAAAATATCGGAGTCTACAGTTTTATAATAAAGACGAATTTCACAATCGCGCCGCCACAGTTTAATCTGAAGCGGTGAATGATTTATCAATAAGCTACTTAGATACTGGAGTTTAAACAGATAGATAGGAATGTTATTTACGTGGATACTGATAAAATAAACATTATGTGCTCCTTCTGGCGCTGCGCAGGTAACGAAAGTAGGTGAGGCCACTACATTCGTGTAATTATAATTTTACACATCGTCCCTTTCCTATCGTAACAGAATTAGGTATCAATCACATAAATACAATATCAATTATCTAATCCTTCCCATAATCAAAAGTAACAGCTCCTTGTGAAAGAGTTCGTCCAGAGAAGTACTGCCACCGTAACTATATCTGCCGCCATGCGGTACATACATATCATCACGCCTGTCTTCCACCGGGGTAGGCAGAGACTATGGACCTCCAATTGCTACGCTCCTGACAAACCTCCTTCGCCTCCTCCACTCCCATCGATCTCTTCATACATCCTCCTTTATTCTTGGTGCTTTTAACCAGGCCTTTTTTAAGGACATCCTCCATCTGATTGAGAAACGTTCACCGAGGTCTACCTGTCCACACGCTTCCATCCACATTCGCGCTATAAATTTGTGCCGTCAATCTACCAACATACATTCTTTCTACATGACCAAACCATCGAAACATCTCTCTCTCTCTCTCTCTCTCTCTCTCTCTCTCTATCCTTGTCACTACATCATCTTTCATACCACAACACTCTGTTACTGTTCGGCATTCTAATCTTTAAGACTAACACCGCAGATATTGCGCAAAGCTCTCATTGCTATAGCATTCACCGTACTGTCATGTTTTTTCTGCCACACCCAAGCAGTAATATGCATTAATGCGTTACGCATGCGTCGGTTACGAAAGGGTGCTGATGAAATTACAGACCGTAGGACGTGTCAACTTAAAGTTTTAGGGGCACTGCAACTGTTATGGATAGGCGAATTGCTTACCTCCAAACCGCGCGACTTGTTCGTCCCTTTAGTTGGTGTCATAAAAAAACTGCAACATGTTGATAAGTTTTGAGGGAGTCATTCTTTTTTATTTGGCTTTCAAAACTAGTTACAGACTTATCAGTCTTAACTAGACATGCTTAAATACAATTCGAATACAATGGAACCTACTAGATATAAGCACAACATGCATATAATGTTCACGTAAATCTTACGAACTAATATGGGCTCGGATAGCCCAATTTCAGTTCATAAATTAAATAAAAATGTAAGAATGTAACTTAGATATTTAAAAACAAAAAATAAATACAAAAAAAAGTGTTTGATAACTTACTTTAATGAATAAATTTTACGTGTACATGTTTGGCTGAGAACAAAGAACCACCGAAAATATCGAAAACATTTCGAATACAATTATAGTCACTACACGTTCTATACAGAGGAGAATGATGACCGAGCCTTGTCTTACATGCAGGCAGAGCAAAAGTTTTCCGATTTTATAATCGATCTATCCGAGGGAGAGAAAACTTGACATGCTCCAAAATATCCGGCGAATCAATGTGACCATGGATTAACTTATATATATCTTTAACAAACTGTCCTTAATATATTACTAGTTTATTTAAATTCAAATTTTATAATTCTTAGGTTTACGTTTCGGGTCCTTCACAGGTCCCATAGTCAGTTTTATTTCCTTTGTATAAACATGTTATTGACTACCATTCACTACTGAAATAAAGATTTAATAATAACTATTTAATAATGTAAATTTAAAACAGTTGAACTCTCAACTAAGTGTTTAAAACAAATAGTAATGTTTCTGTTGTATCATTGTGTAGTTTATGAATAGAATATTGTCAATTCACTGATTAATTTTAAGTTCTCATGTAAGTGACAATTATTGTCTTAATATAAAGTATCTTTCAATCTAAATATTTCGTGGCAAAATGCTTTCGGTTTACCACTTTACATATTGAGATTCACATATCGCATCTTCAATAATATGACGATATTCGAAAAATAATCATTTGTAAGAAAACTGACGAAATAGATTTACATTTTATGTTGTCTAAATTCTATTTGATATGAAAAAAAATTAGAAAGAATGGTGTTCTTATTTAAGACTTTGTTTAATTTAAGAACCTCATGTCACATATCGACGCATCCAGTCCTGTTTTAGCACATTCGCAGCCTTTTGTTCGGGCGTCGACGTGGCCGTTCGGTTGTCGGCGCCGCCGTTGAGCTATAGTATTGGATCGGGGGGTTTGAAGTCTTTTGAACTATATCTTTCGCGCCATCATCGGAGTCGACGCAGCCGTTCAAGCCGATTAGCTATCGGTTACATACTGTCCGACGGGGCTTCTAAATCTTTAAACAATTTTCTCAAAAATGGCATATTTCGGGAAAAACTGGAAATCCTTACAATAATAAAAAAATATATAAGTATATGAAATAGAACTGGAACTGGTACGTGTTTATGCGACCATTGAAGTGGACTACTTTATGTTATATTTTACTTATGTCTAAAGAAGACTGCTGAATTGAACAAATTTATAGGACTGACTTTAGTCATTGAGGCAACAGGGCTGGGATATAACAGGACGTTGTTGCCGACCTATGTCGAGCCGATGCAAAACACACATTCCCTTTTACGCTCCTTGGACTTCCTAGACATATGAAGAGAGTGAAATCGTATGTCTTAGGGCGTGTTCCAATTACGTCGTAATGTTTTAATTATCGTTGGACGACTAATTGTTGCGTCTAGCCTGTTCCCACTAGATCGTGTCGACAATTTATCGGTTCACGGCAGCTTGCCGTTTGAAGCTTGTCGTTCTAGCTCTTCCCAATGTCATGACAGTCTGTCGTCATAACGTCATAAAAGTCGTGGACGACAGTAAATCGTGTTGCACTATATGTGAACAACATCTTTTAAATATACAAGCCACGACACTTTAAACTGCACGACTATCTGTCGTGATGATATTATGGGAACGCGCCATTACGCAGATATTCTATTCTCAGATAAGAAAGTCAGTGAGCTGAGGAACGATTTATCCGAATTTACATGTCCTTAATTTTGAGCGTATAAATGCAGTGGCGCATTCTGAAGTTTACACATTGACCTGGCGTACAGCCAATTAACAAAGTAGTGGCTTGCATTTTGTGGAAAGTGAAATGTTACTTTCTAAATTTAACTGACCTAAAGTGCACCAGGTTTCGTGCAGCTTTGTGGAATACAATATAATTGTAAATTAAAATGAGAATATGGCGTTAAATAAAGAAATATAAGAGAAATTGTGCGCTTGGGAAGGAAAACATCGTACTTAAATTAAATATAAATATTTAAGCACTATAGTCAGCATCTTTTAACAACAGTACAATGAACGAAACCAAGGCAAAGGTAAACGAACACATTTTGAATCTATTTTTGAGGACGTAAACCGCAGTCTCTTCAATGATCTGCAGACTGAGATTTGGTCACCCCTGTTTCCCTGTGTTCCTTAACAAAATTCGTGTCAGAGACAGCTCTTTGTGTGAATGTGGTTTGGACGAGGGTACCGCTTGATCACATTTTCTTTGAATGTCCTAAATTGAATTCCTCCTTGTATGACCTCCTTCCTCCCTATGTTCCCCGTTCTATTAACCTTAAATCCCTTCTTCTTTATGTGTATTCTCCTTTTATTAACATCTTGTGTGATTTTTATATACTCCAATATTATAATGCTTTAGTTTGTTTGTCCATGATTGTTTTTTTACCTCTGGTATAATCTCAACAACAGCTGTCTGTCGAAAAGGTTCTGCCAAATATAAATACCTTGCTGCTGCCTACACGTTGACGTTCTCGATCAATATTAACTGACAACATACTTCGAAACTGACACTGGCCATAGCCTAGTGGCCACCAAACAAACAAACTCTACCACTAATTCGTAAGGGAGATAAGTAGGAAATGTTAGACGACTTGCTCTAAAGTAATTTTTTGCTGATGTTGCTTCAGATTAATACGGCTCGTCCAGCAGGCTTAGCATGAACCCGAAGACAATAATCTCTTTTTCGAACTGTCAATTTTCTCTCGAAAATGACGTCACTGCGAATTATCCCTACAGGCGCGAGCATAAGCGCTATGAGGTTCAAGTTGGCGCGCATGCAAATGTCAAATAAAGACAATTTCTCTCCAACCATAGCACGACAGCCAAATTTTGTATACTTTTGACAGATCGTCGTAGCGGAATATCTCTACTACTCTTGGGGCAGAAGACAAAAAGTACGCCGTTTCTGTTACGTCGTGCTCGGAGGTGAGACATAATCGGTACAGAAGAGAGAGAAACATCTCTATAGGCGCTTAAGTTTTGTCTATGTCCCCTCACGCTAAGCCGGCTGGACACATGAAATTTTCTGTTCCTGTCCTTACAGATTTCGTTGGGAACGAAAATTGTCAGACTGGACGCAACATGGACGGAACATATTGGAAACTTAAAGTATTCCAATGGAATAGGCAGAATATTCCTGTATCTCACTATGACTACTGACACATCTCGCTTTTTCCATTCAAGTCAGACCATACTCCTGTTTATTCACTACGATTCACTCAAAGCTTTAAACCTCAAAGTTCTGATGGGAAATACCTCTGCACTCGTCACTCGAGTTCAGTTGATAAAACCCGTGTGGCTGTAGGTTCACCAGAATTCTTACCCATCAAAACCGAAACCGTAATGCTCACATTACTGCTTGGCGGCAAAAATATTATAGACATGGCGGCAGTAGGACGAACTATTTCACAAAGAGCTCTAATGCTACTTTCGATACTTACTTAATCTTATTCTTAGCAATTTTGGTCTGGTAATTTTTTAAGAACACTTCAATTTTGTCCCTAAGTTTTCATCTACATTCGGTCCATTAATGTGCGTCGTTATTCTATATGAATATACACATATTATCGAAGCTTTGTTTTTTCTGTACTAGTCACTGCATCATATTTTACTCTAGACAGCTCTCAAAGAACGTGCATTACGTACTATACTCTTATACGGAATATAAGGTGCTCTAAGATTATTAGATACTCACCCTTCTTCTCTATAAACGAGTACGACAGTGCCAACAGTGGAATTGTACTTGATCACACCGGGAATTGGCTGCGGGCCTTGTATCCGGCTCTTCGCAACGTCGAAAGGTATGTTGACGCAGGAACCGAGTACTCCGGACGTGAAACCGATTGCTACTTTGCGCCCGAACTCAAGAACTGGATCCTGAAGGCAAAAATGGTAAGTAGGTAGGCGGGCAAGTATGTAATAAAAATATAATACTATTAATGTACCAGACAACTCTATACCTATACTACGAAGTTACGAATATTTGCTACTTGGGCTATCTTTTGTCTTGTTATTTGCCAACTTCACGAGATTATTAAAAAAATACTTTACATTCTAACTTATTTCATTTGAAAGCCGAAGACAAAAGGACGGATTTTGATTGATGGAACCGCTTCATTACGTCGTCTTGTCAAAGTTGACAAGTCTGCAGTGAAAATAGACATTTTAAAGGAGAATTTACATGTGATCATTTTCTTTCGAAGAGAATTGGCGCGTCTTGAGTGTTTGGACGACGTTCCATTTTAAGTAATAAAGCATCGTGTCTTAGAACTGTGGACACCATATTTAGAATCCCAAGGTAAGACACTCCAGTTTCAGTGATAAAACTCGTGAAGGACTTCTTGAAACTGCCACATCGACGCTGTAATGCAGCTGATGTTCAAAGTATCTATACACCCTCAGGTATCTAAGGGATAGCAAAAAGATGCTGCAGTAATTTGTAAAAAAGTTGATCTTTCATTGAAAACCGCATAATATGCTTAGCGATGACCAAAAAAAACATGTTTACGACATTATCGATGCAGAAAAATCTTGGATTTGTGCTTATGATTCAGGTTCCAACTTTCCAAGCAACAGTCGACTGTGTGAGTCTTCCAAGATGAGCCAAAACCGACAAAAAATATCAGCTCCCCAAGAAAGTGGTATCCTCGTTTGTGGCAAAAACTGAATACGTAGCCACCATCATATTTGATGATCTCAAGACAATTAACGCTGACTGGGATACAACAGTCTGCTCGCCACAAGTTGTCATCGAGTTCCAGAAAAATAACTCAAGATGCCATATGATACTCCACCATACAATAGAAGGGAACGTAGGGCTCTGTCGGTTAGGGCAAATATGATCGCACGCAGATTCACAAGGTGTTCGGGTGAGGTAAAGATGACTCTCTTCAAAGCGTACTGCACCTCCCTATACACATGCAGTTTGTGGCGAGTTTGAACTTACAAAGCCCTGCGGACTCAATCAACTGCCCCGTTTTTGTAGTGTATCAGGGATGTTCGCCGACGCGCGCGTTGACGCGTTTGACGCCATTGTGCGCAAAAGGTGCGCCTTTCTGGTGCGTGTCAGCCACAACTCCGCTCTGAATGCAATAGGGGATAGGTTTGACAGTCCCTACATTAGAAATTGCTATGGGCATTCATGCCCCAAAATATATTATCAAATTTTAAAATGCTAAAATACTAACCCTAGGATTTATTTTCATGTATTTTACTAACACATTATGAATCTGGTTACTTGAATAAAAATATTTGAATTTAATTGAATAGCAAGATGAATTTTAAACGGGCAAAACGTTGAAATTCGGAACCACTAGCCGTACGCCGTGACTCAAGTCCCAACGATATCTTTACCTTCCCAGAAATTAAGCAAAATCTTCGTGGTCATGTTTCTACACAACAGAAGAAATGGCTGAGGCTTACAAATCAACTATTTTGATTACTCCAACTTCGGAGTCAAAACTGATTCGTGCGAATATAAAAATGTATTATATGTTATATCATGGCGAGTACTTTGAGAAACAACAAATGGCATTTCGGCTATTAATTGTTGGTGGGTTTCTTAAACGAGAGAGCTTAAAAGGTTGTTCTTGTACGATAACAAAAAACATATTAATGCGTGTTGTCTGTAATAGCCCAATCGAGGACAAGAATAAGATCCAAAAGTAACGCTGTACAGAATCTTACATACGACGCCTCCTACGTAAAGTATCGTATGTCGAAATTGCCAAGTTTACAGGGGAGTGTTTTAAAGTTCTCCGTTTCATTCGGCAAAGCTTGTTACTCACATAGAGTGATCATCTAATAGATCATCTAACCGATATCTAGGATTTTATGATACTCAACGTGTGTAACGAGATTTGCCGAATAAAAGTGAGAAATCTAAAGTCACGTGTTATGCTTATTTCAGTGAATTCGGAACTTTAAAAGGCTCCCCTGTAAACTTGGCAATTTTGACATAGGATACTTTACGTGGGAGAGGTCGTGCTAATGAATTCTCTGGGATGCGCATTTTCCCTACGCGTCGAGTGTAACCTATCGACAAAATATACAATACGTTATGCTATGTTCGTGGCATCAACCGTATTTTCTTATCTAAAACCAACAAACCATAACAATCATACCATATAATTTTATATAAGTAATAGGAAACATACTTTGGTATTAATTTATCTGGAAAATGTCACATAAGTCATACAAATAGTATGTAAAAAAAACAAAATAGTCACTTTTTTAAATAATTAAAATTATGTATTATACAGTTACAGTAAAATAACAGTGATAAAATAGCCTTCATACCTGAGATTCGGGAACATAGCCTTTCACGCTGTGATAGAAACCAAAGTACACCATGTTGAACAATCCATTTCTTGCCACTGTCGCAAAAAGACCTTTATTCAGGCCTCTCATGCCCAGGCCACTATCTCTTACTATTTCTCTAGTCACAGCCCATGTACTTGGCATTTGCGCCGCTAGTTGTTTGTTAGACTGAAGGGTGACTTTGACCACTTCAAATGGATTTACTAATATGGCTTCTGTAATTCCCGCGCCTAGACCAGCTAGGGCAAAAGTCTGGAAAAAAACAAGCTTTGATAAGGGGATATACTTAATTTGAGTTCCCTTGTCGTCGACAGAGTCTGATTTTACTTTTTATATTATTTTATATTTATTATATTATTTAGCTTTAAGTATGGCAGTTAGTGAGGCCCGCTGGCTACGAAATGTACTTGCAGATTTAACTGATAATAATAATAATAATAATAATAATAATAATAATAATAATAATAATAATTCATTTATTTGTGAAAACACAGGTTAGATATGCAAGTTGACATGTACAAAATGAGTAGGTATAGTTTCACTGTGTCCGGCCAAACATTTGGCATACAAACATGTTGAAAGTATATTTGGTATATGAAAACGACGCAGTAGGACCACGGGCAATAAACGGAATATTATAATACAAACACAATTACCGGTATTGACAATATAAAAATGAAAAGAGAAAAAAAAAAGAAAATATATTTAAAGTATTACATATGTTTATAATATCGTTAGTATTCAAGAATGTCAGATCAATTATTAATGTCCAAAATAGTCAATATAATAAAAACAAATTAATTCATTCCAACAATTAAATTACAAAAGTCAAGCGGCTTTGTCAGGTGAAAAATAATGATGCTAATGTAAAATTATTTGAAGACAATCAATTAGTATAAGCTAATGCATATTGATATTAATATTCATTTCATTCGAGAGAAAATAAGCAAAAATTTAGTTAATTTAATGTATGTATGTATGGAAATTTAAATTCGTTGTTTTTCGGAAGGAGTTCCTAAGGTTAACAGAAACAGTTTTTATGTTTTAGTTTTAAGTTTTTTTAGTAGTTTGTGTTCCTTGCGATATTTATTATGACGGAGGTGTATTGAATTATGGCAATAGTAAATATTTATTTTAAAAAAATATATAATTCCTTCCGTCTGTAGGTACTCCATGTTTTCTGGACTGTTTTAATAATATTCTGTGATAATGGCGTCGGTCATATAAAAGTCTATTTTGAGAGTCTCTGAACCAGTATATCGGCGAATATTTCTACAAGACGGAATCGCATTAAGCCAGATGGCTTTTTCAACTCAAGTTGTTTCCGCGTGAATAAGTGTGGTGAAAGAGTTTGAGAGTGAAAATGAAAGTGAGAGAAAAGAACGCGGCAGGATTACGCACTATGGATATACCATTGTGTCATTAGTAGTTCAACGTTTGTATATAGCGTATATTACGTTTGTTAATGTGGTGTCATCGACGCGACGTAGTCGCAGTGCTCGCGCGGCCACATACAATCGTTAAAGATACACAGTTTCCCTAACGATTTTGTTACTAAACGTCCTACAACTCTAACGCGCAGCTATGCTTTCATTCAAATTTTTTTTTATTGCATACATTTTACAAAACAAAAATCTTTTTTTAACCAAAATCGTTGAAGACACATATAACTACGTCAGTAAGACGCGCGGTAGATTTAACGCGTTATGCATAAGTCGACCTTTAGCGTAAGTTAAGAGAGCCTTCTGCTAATGCTAGAAAAGTGAAACTATGTTCTAACTGTAATGATGACAATATAGATATAGCATACTCATTTCAACAGTTTTAAGATATAGGTAGGTCAGTCAAATTCTAATATTAAAAAATATAAAGAAATCTACATTTAATTGCTGCTAATGCAACCTTGTGAACAGACACTTAATTATGTGATATGAACATGATTAATAAAATTATAAAGAGAATAACCAAGAATAAATCCTATTGTGAATTGAAGTCTCATTAAGATAGCTTACTCCTGGACTCACCATACATATCGACATGGTTTCGCATTAAGCCGGCCGGATAAAAGTCCATATAATAAGAGCGACAAGGATGTTGCTCCTTTATGCAGATTTACTACGAACTAAAGGAAAATCCAAAATGTTTTGGATGCTAACAATTTTTAACCGCCTTCAGGAAAAAGGAGGTTCTCAATTCCCCTTTTATTGTATGTATGTTACGCGATTACTTGCTCAATTGTAAACAGATTTTGATGATTCTTTTTTGTTGGTAAACTAGGGGATGAATCAGATTTTGCGCACTTTCCAGTAACCGATTTCAAAGTAATTTTATATAAACAAATTCGAAAGTAATAGTACTTTTTACTTGATTTTAGATTTATACATAAATATATTGAGTAACTAGGTGTAAATTTGAATTAAATTTTAAATATTACATTTTTCGCAACTTAAATATTTACCTACGGTATTATTTAAATAACAGATATAGATAAGATTTGTTTAGTACATATATTTGAATAGGAACTTATTCGAGTTTTATCTTAAAGACAGTGTTCATAGTGATAACCGCCATGTTCCTTTTAACCTCACTTCATTATGTAAGCGTAGATACTATTTGTAATAACGGAATTAGGTAAATAAATAACATAGAGAGATAGCATAGAACGTAGATACTGCCACAAAGGATTCATGCACTTTCTGGTAGAATCTCTACTATCTCTCAGCGTAAAATTGGTCAAGTGTTTATTCTAACCACAGAAATTTGTTAAAGCTTTAACCAACATTCTTACCGGGAAACATGTGTGCTCTGGTTCAGCAGAATGAGCTTTGCCAAAGTATACGCTATCTACATGACATATTTGGGACCAATGAATGCTCCATGACTATCTATCTTAAAAATGTCGTATAATTAAAAAGTAAAGAGCTCATTGCTCTATCAATTGATGTGACTTCTGTGGTGACATTTCTGCAGTGAAAGAAATTTGGTACAAAACTTTTGTGGTTTGTGGACTGCGCGCTTTCTTGAAATTCTGGTCAGGTCTGGTCTTGGCTTTGAGACTTTGTACTGGCCACAGTCCCTTATATAAGTTCTATCATCTCATAAAAAGAGCGGAATCTCTACTTTGTAAATTCTGTAACAAACTTGAAGATGCGCTACATTTAATGGAATGTGGCCATTATGTGGCTCTAAGAAGCCAATTTTAATTAGAGGATATTTGGCAGTTTGGGGAGCTTAATGTTGTGTTGGGTGAGCCATTGGAGAAGAGAGCTGAAATTCTGTACTTGTATGTGAAATCTTGCTTCTCACTATGAGGCGACATGATAGAGTAGAATAATCCACAGGGATTGACATCACAAGGCCGACATTGACACCCAATTATTACAGGCCTTACTAAAAATAAGATTTAAAAAAATAACAAATGTGCCTTTTCAGTTTAAGCATAGTGGACAGTCTTCTGAACAGGGTGAAATTATATGAGGAGGGTACAGTTATAGTAACTACAATGTGAGAAACTGCAAGGTGAAATACCCTTGCATGTTGAGGTCACTTCAAAGTTTTCAGCAAACTCAAAAGGATACTAAGATTCCTGGAGGAGTTAAGGTAGCATATGTAGGGCAAGCAAAATAGATGCTGTGATGAGTTCCAATGTTGATTACTAAGTATTTGGTACTTGGTGTAACGGGCTATAATATATATATTGGAAATTCCATCATATAGGCTGGGATTTTGTGTTCAATTTTGCAAGTGCTATTTACTTAGTAGCTTTTTTCAGTCTATGGTTTCAATATTGATTTTTCTACTTAGGGTTTATTTGTTATTATAGTAGAAGGGACCTATTGTGTTAAAACTGCAAAATAGCACAATCGGTGTCATATGTCCCAAGGATGTGTAACAGTTTAAATTTACAGACAGTTTAATAATTGCTGCAATAAAACATGAAATACTAAGTGTTTACGACCTTGAATTAATTTAAAACTTGTTTGTGGCAGTTATTGAAGAAAAGCATTTCAATAGGTACTGAACATAATATGTATGTATTGAATTTACAATACATTATATGACATACATATTGCATGCCATGTTCAATGTAAAATAATATTTCAAACATAGAATGATTTTCTTTTTATGAGTATCAGTATAGTGGAAAGATCGGAAAAAGAAAACAGAACTAAAATAAAAAATATCTCACTAAAGGTGTTGGTGTAGAGGAGCCAAACATGAAAAACCTTTTATACTGCTCGAAAGTGAGGAATTTAACAGCTCTTTTAGGTGTTTCTGCTAGAATTGGTGGTAGGATTCCTTTCCAGAATGAAGTCAGACCTTCGTACTTGTACATTTTCTTGAAACAATCAGCAATGCCGGTATAATAATGCGGATCGGACGCGCCCAAACCCTTGGGCTTGCTGGCTTGTAGTTGCAGCCTCGTCTTCACCAAATCCAGTGGATGCATAATACAAACTTCGATGAATCCTGCACTGCCGCCAGCACCAATTTGCATAGCAGCTTGTTTCAGTAACTTTTCGAAGTCCATTTTTAATTTGTACACTACAACACACAGTATATTGTGCGACTTGACTTATAAGTAATCAAAGTGCGATCTGCACGAGTGTTTAAACTAGAATAACTGAATTTCCCGCATACTTTATATCTTATCATCAGTTCAATGTCTTAGCCAATACAAAGTACTTTGTGGTCTTAGCACAACCTTTGCGTATTGAAATCCAAAGGATACGTCATTTCATTCAATAATACTTCTTAAATTCTAGACGATGAAGTCACTTTCACTTTATCTGGGTCTCCCTTGACTTTGACTTTTTTTTGTCGACTTTACAACTTGTTTTACAGCTTTGGCTTCCTATATTTTTTCTGTAAAATTGGAAAAATAGAATTTAAAGATGAAGACTAAATTAATGCTCTATGATCAGATAAATCTTTTGAAATTTTATTTAGCACGGGTTATTAAAAAATAATTGTTCTTATCCTCCTCCTTTTAAAGGTTATGTCATGATTAGTGATTAGTATTAAGGACTATTCACATCAGACCGTGCCAGGCGCGAGCAGAGCCACGCACAGGCTCGGATTGGAAATGCATCGTACATTTTATTATTAACTTGCCGTGTCCGTGGCATGGACGAGTGACGCCCGAGCTCGTTCGAGTCTCGGATGGGCCCGCGTCGGCTCATTGTGAATACTCTCCAGTGCGTCGTACGCGCCCCATCCGAGAGTGCGACTTTAAAGAGAGTGACTACTTTCTTTTTAAAAAATGGATGATGAAAAATGAATTGAGTGTGTAAGAAATTACCCAGTGCTTTATAATATGATGTAACACTACGTTCATATTCAAGCGGTAACCGCGTCCTACTGACTGACTCAGTATAATTTAAGATCGTGCAGCACGTACGAGGTTCGGATACCTCGGACACAACTCGCGCCCGGTACGGTCTAATGTGAATATGAATATGCAGCACGTCTGCACGGATGCCGGGTCCGTACACGGCTCGCACCCGACGACGCGGTCTAATGTGAATCAAGGTTACACATCAGTGAAAAAGAATCGTAAGCGAAAAAAATCATCTTAGTTCATTACCGGCAATTAAGTCAATGCCGGCAATGATTGTTTTTAATTATCTTTAAACTGTTGAATATAGATTTTTTAAATATAAAGTCATTGATTGCTGGTAAATTTATTGCAAAGAGAATTATTATTATTGAGTATTTATTGCGTCAATTCATTATTGATTAATTATTTATACATATTAATTGTTTTAATTAGTACCTCTTTTTAACGAATATTTTGATTGATTGAATATTTTGATACGTGTTTCCTATTAAGACACAACTTGCCATTTCTAAGATTGAAAGTGAGAACCCAGGAAGATAGAAGTCAGGAGAGGAGTGCGACAGAGTTGCATTTTATCGCCTATATTCTTTAATATTTACTCTGAGGTGGTCATGAAGAAAACCCTGGAAGATCTGGGGTGTGGGGTTAAGATTAATGAGCGTTTTATTAATAACCTGAGGTGTACTGATGACACTCTCCTAATAGCATCTAGGCAGAATAATGAATGCCCCCTTTTAAGATAGTATAATTTAAGGTAAGGATTTCAAGTGTAATTTCCTTATCTATGAAATAAAGTTTTTCCTTTTGAAGTAGTAGGGTGGCATTCCAGAACTCTACTCAATGCTCAAGTCAGGACTTGAGTATGATTTAAAGCACTCGAAGTCATACTCAAGTCCTTGCCATTAGGAATTTCCAGTGCTTGAAATCATACTCAAGTCCTGACTTGAGCATTGAGTGGAGTTCTGGAATACGACCCTACTACTTCAAAAGGATCTTCTTCTTCTACTTTTTGCTTAATGGCGCTACCCTTTAGATTTCGCCAGTATCGAGTTTTAAGGGCTTCTGTAGACTTTGCTAATCAGTGAGTATTGTGAGAGCACAATGTGATATAAAAATACATTCTTATTAGATTTTAAATTTTGATGCTGTAGAGCTGTTGAATTGCCTGAAAGGGACAGAAAACATATATAGACAAATGTTAGTAGATATGTAAGGAAGGACGAACAAATCATAATCTTATGCTATTGCTGGTTATATAATTACAAAGGACATTGATGCAAGACGTATCAATAACATGAATTAAAATCGTATTAAAACTTGTGGGCTTGGGAATAATATGATGTCGATGAGAATAAATGAGGGGAGGACATCGTACAAAGGCAGAGACAGGATACTTGTTACAATCGAAAAAAATGTGATCCGGAGTTTTTTCGTCCAGCCCGCATTCGCAGAGCGAGCTGTTCTTTAACCTAATTTTCGTTCGAGCCAGGGTCGTATTCTAGTACTCTACTATCAATGCTCAAGTCAAGATTTGAGTATGGTTTAAAGCACTCGAAATCATACTCAAGTCCCTGCCATTAGGGTCGTATTTCCAGTGCTTGAAATCATACTCAGATCCTGACTTGAGCATTGAGTAGAGTTCTAGAATACGACCCTAGTCTACGTACGGTGGAGGTGCAAAATTTGAATGCTTTGTTAAATTAAAAAAAACTAAGGTTTACTCGGGATGACATTTTGAATGTCTGCATAATGCTTTCCTTTCATTTTGCTACTTTCTTTCCATTCGACATCCCATGTGGACATCATCTTTTGAGTTGCCAGTAAGAGCAGGTCATGAGAGAATACTTGAAAGTGGGAATATTTCAGTGGCATCTTTTGACATCAGATCAACGGTCTCGTTACCTACTATACCAGAATGACCTGGGATCTAGGCCTAAGAGACTCTAATTCCTTGACTGAAGCAACTGTATAGCATATTTCTAATTGTTAAGATACAGGGAAAGTTGGATCTGTTACGGATAGGATTGGACAGAATCGCCTGGAGACAACTTGTTGAGTCTGTTAATATGACAATTTTATCTAGCTTATGAGACTCAATATAGAGAAGAGCTTCCGGGATAGCAGTGGCTTCCCCAGTAAAAACAGAAGAAATGGGTGTGCATTTAAAATGAAGGATAATTATATATTTGCGTATCCAGACTGCAGCACCAAAATGTGGAGTGTTGCTTGAAGATGATGAACACATCTTTAAAAACAATACTAATAATAAATTTCGTCATTTAACTACCGAGTAAACTGGTGGAGCGGCTTGTGGCATCGACTGCCAGTTACAATACCCATGGTTCGATTCCACGAGCACTGTTTTGTCTTAACGTTATATTTTTAACAGCATGGTTTCACTTTTTAATGTTAACGTTGACAAATCACAATATTTGTTCTCTAGAAATTGCCTAAGGTGGGTGGGTAGATATTATTAATAAAGCGTAGGGTGGGTATGGATAGATTAACAAATCACGAAATCGCTCTGCAGTTTGCATACGATCGTGTCTTCTGTGATTACGCATTGTTCCACGTTTCGTTCCTATTTGCCTATTCAGTTTTAATTACTTTCAAGGTTTTAGTGACTTTCAAAGATTTCTTTCTTGTTTTAATATGCCGCACTTAATGGAATTATTAAAATTAGAAATTATTGTTCTGTGTGAACAAGATTTAGGGTCGCATTCTAGAACTCTACTCAGGACTTGAGTATGATTCAAAACACTAGAAATCATACTCAAGTCCTTGTCATTAGGGTTGTATTTCCAGTGCTTGAAATCATACGCAAGTCTGCTCAAATCCTGACTTGAACATTGAGTACAGTTCTGGAATATGACCCTCAGACATTCCTTACACCTATCCAAACGTTAAAAACAAAAAAAAAATACAATATTAATTTAATTATATAGTCATAGCTAAATAACATTTTTTAATGTGACTCAAACCATGCTTGCCTCAATTTGCAAAGCAATTCTTATACCACTTGGCTACGACGGCCTTACTAAAGCTGGAAGAAATTTGGGTTCTGTATTTAAGTAAGAACCATACGTTAAAGTTCAAATTGGCTTAAAAACTTACTTAAAATGCCATTCACTAATGAGACGACCAGGGAGTCATACCAAAATAAAATTGACGGCAGACAGGTTAAAGATTTTGCTTAATAATTTTCTCCACATTTTTGTGCTCAGAATCAAAAGGTGGACAAAGTCGGCCTGGGGGGTCAGGTATCTTGTGTATATGACTGTACATCGAAGAGAGGGTTTAGGGTAGGTACACTGATATACTGGACAGGGGAGCCCGATGAATTTAATAAAACTAAGAAACAGACAGGGTGCAGTTTTATGTCTCCAGTATTTATCAGAGAATATAAAGTATAAATACCAGTGATGGTGCTAACTGATCTTTCATAAGCTGCTGAAATGACAGGTCAGTAAAAATTACTTCAGCAACCTTACTTTAACTTTTATTATTTAATTTTTATTATTGACCTATCAAAAAGATAAAAAAACATTTACTCCAAAATTCTTGCATATACTCGACTAGTTTGTGTACTCGACTCTGATTGAAAGTCACTTAAGTAATTCTCTGAGCCTGTTTATCTTATATTCTCAAATTGTCGTAAAAAATTCAGTATCTTAAATTTTTACAGGAATCTAATGTGGAGGAATATTCAACATTTTGGAATATTATTCTTTTTTCAAAATGGAATGTTTCCATGACCCAACACAAGGGTTCCCCGTTGAATAATGTTGCCAGAAATAATTACAAAAAATTGCAACTAATTTTTGGCAGCACCGTGTGACAGCTGTCATAGAAATGTCAAAGACGTGCAAATTCGAAAGTGTTGTTTCTCGATTTTGTTGTATATTTATTGCATAAAAATATTAGAAATCAGTTCGATCGTTGCGTGAATGTGATTTCAAATGTTAATCTGTAAGAACTTATGTCGTAAAACAGAGATTCTATGTGTTTAGATTTTGTGTTTATGTGTACATTGTCATACAAAATGGCAGGAAAAGTGTACTGCATTGAGGTGTATTGAAATGAACGATCGGTGTATTTCGGGTGTGGAGAGGGTGAGAAGTGGCGCAGAGGGTGAGATGTGGAGATAGCGTGATCATGGGCTCTCAGACGCTTGAGATCCTACGGCAGGGAGTTTGGGCATCTCTCACGGGCGGGTGGTTCTACGATCCTCACCAGAATCTGTTCTGCAACACTGTTCACCTGTACATCTGGCTGTTCTTACTATGTCTGCCATTCTCCATCTACTTGGTAAGCTCGTGGTTTGGATCTCAAAAGCTAATAACAATGATAGGTTATATATTTTGGGTTGTTATTAAAACCAGGTCAAAGTACCAAAGGGGATGTTAGGTTGTTTTTTTGTTTGCATGCGGGCTTAAAGGTGAGTAATCATCTGTGTTTTTTCTTATCTGTCTAGGTAAACAGCAGAGACTGTAAAGTAAAAAACAGCTATATAGAAACATGTGATTAATTGTGCATGTCTCATGCTATGATTTTATATTTGTTTTTAACTTGGAGACCAAGACTTTATTACATTGTTAGTTTGTTGCCTCTGTCTCATGGTATAGGCAAACAATTGACATAATAGATAAATTAATTACATAAATACAATTTTTTTATTTCTCCTCACAAAGATACAGGATGCGTATTAAAATCTTCATCTTTTTGCTAAATGGCACTACTGTTTACATTGCACCAGTATTGAGTTTTTTGCTTAGTAATTTTAAGGACTTCTGTACACTGCTATTCAGTGAGTATTGTGAGAGCACAATGTGATATAAAGAATACTTTCTTATTAGATTTTAAAGCTGCAGAGCTGTTGAATTACCTGAAAGGGACAGAGAACAATATATATAAATGTTAGTAGGTATGTTAGACAGGACAAACAAATTATAATTTTGTGTTATTGCTGGTTATATAATCACTTGTTACTACTGATGAGTACTTGTCACAACCAAAAAAAATTTGATGTGAAGAGGCATATTAACAATGAGGTACTTAGAATAGTTACATTGTGGGAGACTGGAGCCAAACCTAGATCTAGCCTGTATGATAGGTCTCCAGGTCTCTTTCTCTACAAAAGAAATGTATTTCAAATTCTTGTGTAAATTGGTGATACAAGACTGTATATTATTAGATTTGATCCCTTAATGTGCAATGCTAATTGTTTTCTAATAGGAGTTACTTTCAAATGGTAATATTACACAGTAATGGTTAGTAAACAGTGCAATGTTTGACCACTCATCGTAATTAACATTACCATTGTAAAATATTTAAGCTATGTATATTTGATACAGTAACATTATATCAGAATGTAGTTGCTGCATTCATGACAAATTAACATTCAGCAGTTAGGCCATTCTGTCTGTAACATACATTACCATAAAACTAGACATTAAGACTATTTTAATAATTTCACACTATATTTAGAAAGTTGTAATGTAATTGTGCAACATATTTTAATAAGTAAAAGATGGTATTATATGTTGTAATGGGCTGGTTTTTGTAATTCAACACCACTCTGTGCTTATTTTGCATATAGCTAGGAAAATAAATGAAGAATTTTAATATTAAGTTTTATGTAATTATTTATTCTAAGCTCAAAAGTAAACATTGTCACAATTTTTACTTAAACTTAAAATGAGAGTACTGAAAACTAGTTATGTTACAGTGTGTAGTAAACTTGTTATGACTTTTTAAAGTAACTTTTTCCAAAACCTTAAAGTTATCACCGCAGTCATTACCGCGCACGATCCTGTACACTCCTGATCATGTGCGATAGAGTGACTGTGTAAAAAGGGCCAATGACTCATGTGGCAATTCATTAATTGGTGTTCTTCGATCGACGGTTGTTACCACACCTACTGTTGTGGTTTGTTTGAAGAAAACTTGTCATTAAATTTGACCCACTTGTGCTGTCTTGATTTTTTTGTTCCATACAATGAAATGATCCTTACATGAAACTGAGTTGATTAGAACTAAAAAAAAATTATCAATTTTATTAATTTTTATGGACAATTCACATTTGATCACATAATTGACTAAGTATGCCATCAAATTTTAATCAATTAAAAGATAGTTTTATTACTTTATTTATAGCAGTTTTGTTATCTGTTAACTTATTGTTACCTCTTACAGTAGGAAAGCAAAGCCTCTCTATGAATGTCATATTAAATGGAGCATTTAATGTTAAAATTTTGGATATTTCTAGTTTTATTTTTAAAAAGTTATTGATGTTGATTTTTTTTTTTTTAATATATAATAGACACACGCTTGGCCACAATCTCACTTGGTAACAATCTTGTTTGGTAACATACTTTCGATATCAGTTTAGTAATAGTAAAAAAAGCTTTTTGATATTTCTTATATTTATGGAATAATCGCCTGGGCACACTTAACGATTACACCCTGTATATGTATATGCATTAATATGCCAAAATCATTTAACAGTACATTAAGGTCTATAGTATAGAGAATGATTCTAAAACTAGCAAACTGGTTGTAATGACAAACATAAAATGACTCATTTAGTGCAAGCCTTGATTCTTAAATTTTTAAGTATCCATTTTGGTTTTCCTTCCTTATACACTTAAGTTCTATTTTACTAATAGTTTTGCACTCTTTTTTGTTGGTGGTAAAAATCACGAAATGTAATGAATATTAGACATTCAAACATTTTAAATATGGTGTTTATCAATCTTTATGTTAAGCAAGTAATAGGTAACCTGTTGCTACATTTTCAAATAAAATAAAAACAAACCAAATAATTAGTAGCAATTTGTCGACTCTCAAATAAAACTGTATAATTGCGTGCGCAGTACTTCCCAGCGGGCAGTGTGGGATGGGCGGTGTACTGCGCCCTGGTGGCGCTGGTGTTCACGGGGCTCAAGCTGCTGAACCACGGGCTGCATCGACTCTACGACACCGGCGAGTGCATCGTCGTACAACCGCCCAACACCAGTGGGAATGCACACAACTCCAGCGACAACACTGCGTATGTACTGTTGAAAATGTTGAAAGAAACCTGGATTTCTATTAAGTTCCTTCATTAATGGGATCGGTTTTTAGTGCGGAAGAAGGGCTGGAGATGCAGATCTTGCGGCTGGATCCGGCGGCAATACCCAGCGACGACGACAACGAGTCCATCACCTCGCTCGAGTATCACAAGCCCAACAACAGCACCATCGGTAACATAATTGGGCTTTAGACTATAATTTTGAAGCAACAAGTCGAAACGCTCAGACTCCTCTCTCGTTGCAGACCTAAAGGTGGACGTCCATCGAAAGAATAGTTCGGAGTCGAGCATGGAGGACAGCGCGACGTCGGCGAAGCCGCAGGAGAGCGCCGCCGCCACGAGCAAGTCGGAGCTGTGCTCGGGCACCGGCGGGGAGCGGCCGCGGCGGAGGGGCAAGGGCGCGCGGCGGGAGCAGGGCCCGCGCCAGCCGGCCGCGCCGCGCATCGACGAGCTGCACGCGGAGGAGGCGGCGCGCATGCGCGGCGCCGGCGGCGACGACGGGCCCTTCGCCAAGGTCAGCCGGCGCTACCACGAGTGCTCGCACCGCCGCGGCTCCAGCGGCCCCGACTTCCTCAAGGAGTGGCTGTACCTGGACGGCAGCGAGGCGGCCACGGAGCCGTGCTGCACGCGGTTCGCGCGCCGCGGCCGCTTCGCGCGCCCGCCGCAGTCCAAGAAGCGGCCGCCGCACCGCCGCCGCTGGATCGAGTTCGGCGACGAGCCCGTCAGCCGCTCGGCCACGGCGCTGGCGGGCGGCTCGGCCATGCGGCGCGGCTGCAACTCCAGCGCCTCGGCCACGCAGCTGCCGCTGCTCACGTCCACGGCGCAGCTGGTGTCGCACATGCGGCGCCACTCCAACAACGCCAGCGTGGAGCTGGGCGAGTACATGATGGTGAAGGCGGACGCGCCCGCCGACGCCGACGCCGCCGACGGCCGCGCGCCCGGCGTGCGCCGCATCAAGAGCGCGGCGCTGGAGATCGGCTGCCCGCCGCCCAGCGTGTCCAACCTGTCGCCGCACCCCAACAGCGCGGAGACCATCGGCGGCCAGACGCTCAAGAACCCCAAGAGCGCCGTCATCCCGCCGCCCAGCAAGAGCCTCACGCGCGGCCCGCACCTCAACCTGTACCCCGAGGGCGAGGCGGGCGAGGGCTGCAGCTACCCGTACCTCTCGTACGGCTCGGAGATCGTGTACCCGATCGCGGAGATCTCGGACGAGATGCAGACGTCGCAGAAGGAGACGGACCTGGAGTCGAGCGGCGACAACTACAGCGAGTACGAGGACGAGAAGCAGTTCCGCGGCTTCGACTGGGACGCCGAGCAGTCGCCGGTGCGCTCCAGCGACTCCGACTACGAGAACAACGGCTCGCGCTCGCCGCTGCTGGAGCGCGCCGCCGAGCCGAGGCCGCGCCTGCGCCCGCCCGACGCCAAGCCCTGCTGCGAGCGCCACTCCGCCAGGGCCCCGGGGGCCCCGGGGGCCCAGCCCGCCCTTGGGGCCCGGCCCGCCCGCCAGAGGAGGCCCAAGGCCGACGAGCGGCAGGCGGCGCCCTGCGACTGCAAGTACGGCGCCAACGGCGACTGCTTCGACAAGGCGAGCGCCAGTTCCAAAGACTTGCTCATAGAGAAGTCCAGTTTGGAGTCCAACGACAACGGCGAGACGTCGGACAAAAGAGCCGAGAAGAAGGTTGTAGAGAAGAAGCTGTGGGACCACGATTTATCTAATTCTAGTAGTAGTAGCGATTCGACCGCGGACAGGCGGGCGGGCGAAACTAAGGAGTGTAAAGTGGCTCCGGAGACTGAGGAGTCGCAGTTGACGGGCGACAGCAAGAGCGCGGACGAGAGAAGCGTGTACAGTTTGGATTGGCTGTTCGAGGAGTCCGGCCCTCTCCCGCCGGCTACCGACGACAGCTCCGGTTCGCAGGAGCCGAGTTCGCACAAACTGGCCGCAGCTTTCGGCGAGTCCTCTTCCAATATTCCGAAAAACTTAGGTGCTATACCGAAGCAGATAAAAAACTTGGCTCGATCCCGCGCCTCGTCGCAAAAAGAAAATAAGAAGAGAGATTCTAAGAAGGAGAAAGATGAAAACCAGAACGATGATAGAATCCTTTTGGATGCGGTCGAAGCGCAAGCTGCCTTGGTACAAGGATTGGAATGCTTGTTTGCAGCGACGAACGCGAACACCGTGGTGATGCCGCCGCCGAGCCGCGAGGAGCGGCCGCGCTCGCACCGACAGAGTCTGCGCGGAGATAGGGAGAACTTAAGCAAAACCAGAAAAAGATCGATCGAGGAAGTTGCACAAACGTCTACAAACACGCTCCTGCCGACGTCGATGCCCCTATTGGCGGCGTTCCTCAATTCAAGAGTGGATTTTCAGCCCGCGTGTTGCCCGCAAGAAACCGCGGCTGCTGAAAACCCTCCGCAGCAGGCGGAGGAAGGACAAAGACTGAGGCCTTTGATGGACCGGAACCATAGGAATCGAGTGCGCAAAATCAAGCGATCCACAAGACAAAGAAATAATCCATCGGCACAAAACACTGATAAGACTAGGCCACCGAACTCTGAAAACTCCAGCAACTCGACCAACGTTCATTTCGCGACGTCTTTCGACGACACCACTGATGGGGCGATTCATTGCTTTATGGACGAATACGGCAACTGGATGTCGTACACCTTCGACAAGAACAGCTCAGGCGTTGCTACCGTACAAGCAGCACAATCTGACAAGAATGACAATGTACGATGTAATAGAATAAAACCCATAGATCGAGACAATTCGCAAGAGACTGTGCCCGATGGTAGTTCTGGGTCTTTAGAATCCGAAGCTGGTAATAGCGAAAGCGCATCAAAACCTAAACGCGGGGATAGCATAGACCACAGTTCTTCTAACCAAGGAAGCAGTACAGCAATACTAACGACGAATAACAACGTATCTACTGTTGTTCCTATAAATATAAACAACGGCGTGACGGGGAACAAAAGGTTTTATGTTTTCGACGGAGGAACCGGCTCTGAACAGCCGCGTTCGCCTGTTGCGTACGTGACCGATAGTTTGTTGGAGCAAATTGAAGCAGAGCGGCAGTCGCGAATGGGTCTGCCTAGTATGCACATCAATTTCCTCATGAACCAGCAAAGGGCGCAGCAGCAAGCTCAACAACAGCAGCAGCAACAGCCAGATACCACATCAATCAACCTAGCTAGTTTTATGCCTTCAATCGGCGAAGAAAGCGTCGAAATGAATATAAGAAGCAAATTCTCCAAGCTGATGGACGAAATCGAAAAGGCGAATCAGCCGAAACCAAAAAGTTACTACAAATTGAAATTATGGAAATGCGTAGAATTAAAAATTACAATGGATAGACTGAAACTCATGGCGCTGTTTGATCGTAACTTGACATTCAAGGATACGTTTGTATCGATAGTGTTGGCGATTCTTGTTGCGTTTTTGGGCTCAATGGTGTTGAATCTTGGGTTCTACAGGGATATTTACGCATTCTGGTTCTGTTTCATCATGGCTGGTAGCCAGTACTCTCTTTTGAAAAGTGTGCAACCGGATTCCGCTTCCCCAGTCCACGGGTTCAATAAAGTCGTCCTGTTCTCTCGTCCAGTGTATTTTTGTATATGTACTGCATTGTTGTGGGGAGCCCACAGCTATTTGGAGCAAACAACACCATTGCCTGAAGACGACCACATCAGAATGAAACGAAGCGTTGATGACGCAAAACCATTGACAATTTACGGATTTCAAATGAACGAGAGAGATTTTTTCTACGCCATTCAAGAAATTTTGTCTAAGTTCCTATTATTTTTTCCCTTAGCATTTAGCTTGGGCTTATTTCCGCAAGTGAATACTTTTCTGATGTACTTACTGGAGCAGCTAGATATGCATGTATTTGGTGGCAATGCGACAAGCAGTTTGAGTGCAGCCGTGTACTGCGTGGTACGATCAGTGGCTGCCGTAGGAGTACTATACGGGTTTGCTTATAGCGGATTGGTGGAAGGCAAGAAATCGCATCACCAAAAGCATAATATCCTGTTTTCCATATTCTGCGGTCTTTTGGTTCCGATCGCATATCACCTAAGTCGAAGCGCGAGTGATTATACACTAATATGGAACTTAATCAAAAAGCATCTTTTGCCACCTGAATTATATCCAGCAGTTCATAGTCCAGAATGTCCTCAGGATTTGGAGAAGTGTGATCCGACGTTAACAGACGACAAGAAGAACAATTCTGAAAGTAATATTTCGAAGCAGAACTCAATTGGAAGCTCAGCATCAAAGATAAACTTTAGTTCAGAAACCAATATTGCGAAAACTCAGAAACGATCTCAAACATCTAGTGTTAGTTCACTAAAGATGGACCCTAAAGGCGACGCAGTCAATTCTACGAATTCGCTAAAAGGTGAAGTTGCAAATGAAGAAGATAAAAGCAGGGAGACAAACTCAAAACCAGTGGATACCGAAAAAGTTGAGGAAGAAATGGAAGATCCCTTACCAGCTAAACTGCAAGCAACTGTCAACGGACGACTGAAGAACGATGTGATTGTCTGCGCCTTTCTTGCACTTCTGGTCTTTGGTTTACATTGCACCACAGTTTTCACTACCTTGCCGCAACTAAATACGGTAATTATATTTATTTCTTGTTATTAATTAATCTTTATCAAAGTTTTTACATGTTTCGATGAAGATCTAAATAAATACCAGAAAAGCACATAGATTACGCTACTTAAGTAATCTGTATTAGTTACAGACATCGAGTATATAACCAGAAATAGAGACGAAATAAGGGCCATCCATCCCTGGCAACTCATCAGGCATATGGGCCTTATATCACTTAAATATCAACGCTATTTTTGGGACCGTTCGATTATTAACACTTTATGCATGTTCCAGGCACTGTGGATAATCGCGGGCGTAGTTGGATGGATCCTACACTATCTAGTACCTCAGCTACGCAAGCAACAACCATGGCTGTGCCTTGCAGGACCCGTACTGCGCGCGCATGAGCACGCACAGTTCGAAGTCACTGAACCTGCCAAACTCACGCTTGTTGAACGGGTACGTACACGCGTAGTTTAAGTGAATTTCAAAACTGTACTATTCTCAAACATGCTCGAAAATGTTCGCTTTTGTTTTAAAGAAAGTTCACGCAAAGAGCGTGATTTTTGCCAAAATACAAAGTTAAATACAAATTATTTCCCGGCCTAGTCCTTAATGAAAACACGTTTGTTACCGCTACGTTAAACTTTTAAATATTTGACCATTGTATAACATCGAGGTGACTAAAGAAAAACGCCATGCAGCAAAGTTTGTTTTCATATATTTTATTAGGGGAACTTACAGCTCCTTTTACTTCTACATATTGTTGATTACTAATTTTTTCAGCGCATTATCGTCATATTAAAAATGTCGTGTAATTGGACCTAATTATTTTGATTAATAGTTGTTCGTGTATCTGTGCTTCGTGGAGCGCAACGTTATCTATCCCGCGGTGGTGGTAGCCGCAAGTACGCAAGATGCACCCGCTATTGCCGCCAAGTTCGGCGATCCCATCGCTGCACTCATCATCTGCGTGACCGCGTTAAAATGTAAGTTTCTTTTTTATAATTTATACAGGCTGTATATTTGAAAGGGAGACATATTCATATATGTCATGGTAAATCATGTTACAACTTAACATAGACTAAAATAGAATTAGGATAAGGCATAGAACAAAAAATAAATCAACAAAATGAAGGTTTGAAGTGTACATAGAAATAAACCGTTTCCCTTTACGCTTGATTTCGAGTGCAATGGGAATACTACCAAGCGAGCGCCGAGTGAGACAGCAACAATAACAACGATTTCACATTTACGTTTTAGCTTATGTTAATTATTTTTTACTTGAACTTGAAAGAATGGAGGTTTTTGACGTAGTTAAAAATGTGAAATCAAATTATTTATAATGATTGATTTTTTAGTTATTTCCAGTTTATTTACACTTACGTGGTACGGAGCAAGTGTTCGAAATGTCCACCGTTTTCCACAATGCATAGTCTAGCACGGCATAGTAAATTTTGTTTTAAATTGTACATGACAAACACATTTTGTCTCACAGTATAAAATGCTGCGATAATCCTCTCACGCAACACTTCGACACAGTTCACCTCCTCCGCGTGAACTCCGATTTGGGAACATTTCAATAGCTTGCCTCACACTATCACCACTTATTGCGTAAAGTCCCACCATCTCAGTCAATTCGATCGGGCGAGCGGAAGTACAAATAATTTACGTGTCTTCGTTAGATCAAGGTCGCGCGTGCACTGAGCAATTTCGCGTATGCGCTCGCGCCCCTACCCCCGACCTGTGCTTTGTTTTTCGCCGCCGTGTCGCCACCTGTCGCTGCGTCGGAGCAATAATAGTGATGTGCATACATTTCGATAACTAATGTTGTTCCCAAGCAGTAGTCGATAAAAAAAAAATTTAAAATATTTTTTGTAAAGTTTAAGTTCATTACTTTATTATTTCTTTGGGTTCAGAATCAGGAATATAACGCACTCTATAAGTATGTCCCACTTTCAAATATACAGCCTGTATGTATACAATTTTACCAGACAAAATATGAAGATATATTTTATTTACATATTTTTAATCAGGTTACATAGACACCTTAAATACATACCTTATAGGCTAACATACACTATGAAATAAGAAAAAGAAATATAATTAACCATAATTATTTACACGTATGGTCCGACGCAACACGGGTGTCTGGTAACCGAAGGGTGTTGTTCCACAGGCAAGGCGAGACGAGACGAGAATTTAAATCTCGTCAGCCCCTTTATTGGATTTCGATTGGTTTTAATGGAAATTCACGAAAAATTGCTATCGCGAGCCCGCGATTCATATTAATGGCCATCACCAGCTCGCGCGATATTGCAGTGTGGTTGTGGATAGTGAAGATGTAGTGCTATTCAGTTCCTCTTGCAATAAAGACGCGGCTGAAGTCACATGTTCCGTAAATTATTATTATTAAATATCTTAATGGTAGAAGAAATCAGATCAAGCCATCTTTTTTTATAAACTCAAATCATGCATAACCCACAATCTCGCGGTTGATATTAATAGGTATCGCGAGCTCGCGCTAAATCGTGTTTCCATTGCTGAGTTAATAAATACTCTTATCTGGGCAGCAATACGGTTTAATATTACATCAGCAAATATTTAAATTCTCGCCTCTCACATCCTCTCAATTCAGACCATATCCACCGAAAATGCGCAGTGTTTTGTTATCGCATGTTCTGCATTAATACTGTTTAAAATATTTGTCCATCCTTAGAAATGGGGTTAGTGAACTTCCAAAGATCTGACGAGGAAGAAAAGTCAGGTGTAAAAATGGTTTAAAATTACATGGAACTGGGAATAAACGGAAATTTTGCCAGTACAGACTTCAATCCTCGTCTCGCCTCGCCGGTGGAAAAGCACCATTCAACATTAGAATGGATACATAAATAAATAAAGGTTAAAATATTCGTCTATTTGTTTTCTATTACCAGGTCTACGCAACGCGTATTCAGAGACAGACAGTCAATACCTAATCGTAGTCTTCGCTGTGTTAATCTTCCAAAGGGACCTCTACAGCCAGAAGATCTCGGAGACCTTTCTCGTAGACTACTTCATCACTGCCATTATCTTCAGCAAGGTCTATGAGTTTTTACTCAAGGTATGTTCCTATTATTCTACAATACGTTTTTATAAATAGGATTAAACTAAAGTGGATTCCGCGCTTGTATTATAGGGTATTACCACGCTTAGACCTTGCTAACCTTAAAATCACGTTTCGACACTTCCAATTTTTCGTTAGTAATTCGACCCCTCCTACGTAAAGTATCGTATGTCGAAATTGCCAAGTTTACAGGTGAGCGTTTTAAAGTTTTCAGTTCACTGAAATGACCATATCACGTGACTTTAGCATTTCTCAGTTTTATTCTACAAAGGTCCTTACTTTACTCGTTCTCGAATAAAACTGAGAAAAGCTAAATTCACGTGTTATGCTTATTTCAGTGAATTTCGAATTTTAAAACGCTCCCCTGCAAACTTGGCAATTTCGACATATGATACTTTACGTAGGAGGGGTAGAATTATCCCATATATAAATTAATTTCAACTGTCACAATTTTCGCACATTATTTGATTTTAATATCGGGATTAAAGAGGCTATACAACCTCAAATGGCTTTGGTTGATTCCGTTTAACAGTGAAAGTGTTGAATCAATCACTGTGGAAAAAATATAAATTAGAAGTTTTTATAAAAAAAACCCGACCTCAAAAGTTCGTGGAATTACATCTATTTGCCAAGTTTTTATTGAAATTATCCCCGAGTTCGCCACCCTGTACAATATTTTCTTTAAATTGGACCAATACTACCCTCATTCCAATAAAAAATGAGTCATCAAAATCGGTTAACAAAAGGCCGTAGTTATCGCGTAACGTACATGCGAAAAAAAACCGTCGAATTGAGAAACTCCTTCTTTTTTGAAGTCGGTTATAAATTGAGGATATGCACTGATTAGTACGCGGTGTGAAAACACGATTCATAAACATTTTCACGATAGAAAAGCAACACAAACTTACCTGGAAATGTTGCAAGAAAACTGCTGTATTCATTGACTTACAAATAAATGGACGACGGGTCTAATACAAAAACCACGAAAAAAATGTCCCAAGTCAACCTAATTAAACGTAGTGACATGTAAAGGAATATGAAAAAGCTAAAACATTGAATTTAAATTGTAATGTCATCGCAGTACTGTCTAATTTTGCTTGCTTCGCTGTCAGTCGAACAAACGAAGACTAAAGCGTGAATGACGCTCTGTATACGAAACGCCCTATAAGTTCGGATACTTTTTAGCGCGGACCCGACGTCCATATAATTGTAAGTCAATGGCTGTATTCAATAGGTACTTTTATGTAATTCAATGATTTTTTTAATATCAACTGAACATAGAACACGTATACTATACGATATACATTTTTTAAATGCAACGTATATGGTCTTAAAGGTACAACCTGCTAAATGCGATTCCTGTACCCACAGATCCAGTTCGTAGTGACATACATAGCACCGTGGCAGATCACGTGGGGCAGCGCGTTCCATGCGTTTGCGCAACCATTCTCCGTACCGCACTCCGCCATGTTATTTCTACAGGCTGCTGTTTCTGCACTATTATCGTCACCTCTCACTCCAGCTTTAGGTATGCCTTTGCTGCAGTATAATATTATGCTTTTATTTACTTGAAAAGTGTCTTGTTAAGCGTCTTTTGATGTTTTACTGTCACAAGTATTATTCGACCAAATTAAAAAAACAATGTCAAGTATGCAGCTTCATTCGCCTCATGCGTCTTTTTTTTAAAGAGAACAATCTGGAAAAACCACTGTAAAGGAATGGAAGCTGCAGCATTTTAGCCACGTAATGAGTGGTAATAGATACCGGATTCTTCACCTAATAATCCAGGGTACAATCCAAGGAAAACTTAGTCGTGATAGAAGAACAACCTCCCAAAGAAAAACTCGTAGATTTCTCACAGATGGCGTTATGGCAAAAAGTCGTTAAAAACCAAAAACAAAGATGTGCAACAAATACATGGAAAAATTCGTGAGGTCCGTTGGTTCGTTCTGTACCTTAGGTGGCATAGTGTCTGGCACGGTTTGCTGGGAGACGTTGGTTCGATCCTTGTTTAATAATTATAAAAAACTCCTGGTTGAAGAATCTGGGAGACTGGTTCAATCTTAGCACACGTTTCCTTTTCGTGCGCAGGTGTCAAAAATAAGAATAACCATGATGGTTGCCAACCTTCGTAGAGAATCGGCATCCTAAGAAGTGTATTCAAAACGCCTGAACTATTCTTATTCTTCAAACTGATTTTAGAATCACACAACCTTGGTGGTCTAGCGGTTTGCATTGTGGGCACTGGGTTATGAGCTCCCGGGTTCGATTCACAGTCGGACCAATATTGGAAGTGCCACAGAGCAGGGTTTCGTTACTCGAGGTTACGCGTTAGTGCCTTCCGCTGAGTGTAACGCCGATTTATTTTATGAGGAGGGAAGGTGGTTAAAAATGAATTGCAAGGAAAAAATATTCAGAACAAGCGTAGCTATTTTTCACGATTTAACCTTCACTGGGTTCACAGCAAAGTAATTTACTTTCATTTTATGAACAAGTAAACAAATATGTTATTAAAATTATTTAATAACTCTTTTGGCTTCTTTTTCTACAGGCAGCGCAATATTCATGACATCATACGTGCGACCGGTCAAGTTCTGGGAGCGTGACTATAACACAAAACGCGTGGACCAGAGCAACACTCGCCTTTCTTCACAGCTCGAACGGAACCTTGGAGCTGGTAAGTTAGCTACAAGTTTACTTTTGAAGTAAGAAGTGCCAACGCCTGCCCTTTATATTATGGCAATAGAGCACTAAAAACTTTTGCTCTTTTAATTTAACCAGGCACTTCTTCGTAAAATTTTCAATCGTGTATATTTTTTTAACTAATGTAGTTAGGAAGCTTATACCTTTAATTCGTGAAAGTAGAAAATAGGTAGGAATTATTGGTAATACATACTTGTGTGGAAAACCTGCTCCCTTTATGCTGAACAAAGTGGCGACCAGCCACCGGAATGGCTGGTCAATTATTTATTTAATTTCTCAGAATATATCAAAGGTAGCAATTATTTAGAAAAGGTAGCAATTCTTGAATATACACCTAGCTGCGACAGTCGACCAGCCATCCTGACGGTCACAAACTCACGAGAGAAGTAAATGTAGGCCCTGCACATATTTCTAGTGGCCTGGGAATCGAACCCGGGACCTTTGCGCGGCAATCCGGCGTGGCAACCGTTCGGCCACCGTGGCAGTTAAACAAATGAGTTTATTATTATTATTAATTTCAGATGACAACAACTTAAACTCTATATTCTACGAGCATCTGACGCGCTCGTTGCAGCATTATCTGTGCGGGGACCTCATGCTTGGAAGGTGGGGGCAGGTGCAGCAGGGCGACTGCTTCGGTAATGTCTCTTCAGCTTTACCCGTCATAGAGTCCTACAAATTTTATAATTTAGTTTTTAATGTAATTTCATCTCATATGTAAGAGACCTAAATATGTGGAGTAAGATCTATGGTGAGATTTCTGCAGTGAATTGAATTTGGTACAAAACTGTTCAAGTGCGTCCACCGCGAAAGCCAGGACAGCACACTATCTAGAAATGGACTTCGTGCTGGCCACTGTCCCTTAAATAAGTTCTATCATCTAATAAAAAGAGCGGAATCTCGTCTATGTAAATATTGTAACAAAATTTGAAGGTTAGCATATTATCTTTATTATTATTTGATGGAATTATGTGGCTATCGTTGTAACTAAGAACTTAAAAGAAGACAATATCAATTAGGGGATATTTGGCAGGTTGGGGAGTTAAATACTGTGTAGGGTCACCCATTGGCGAAGAGAGCTAAAAGTCTGTACTCGTATGTGAGGTCTCGTCTCTCACTACGAGGCGACACGATAGAGTAGAAATTGACTTCGCAAGGCCGACATTGACACCCAAGTGTTATAGGCCTTATTAAAAATAAGATAAACAAAGTCCCTCCCATTGTGAGAGGAGGCCTGTGCTTTTGCGGTGGAAATTCGGAGTCCCTGGAGACTATAGTTGAAACTCCTCGCTTAGGTTTTGCAGTTCAATTTCTTGAGCTGTGAACAGGCTCAAAGTCAAAGTTAAATATCATTAAATAAGCTGACTTCCCTAACAAGAACGAGCAAGAAACTATAGGGATAGCTCGTTACAAATAAACTTAAATGCTATAGAACACACTTTGAATCATATTTATATTATGGAATCTAGACTCATGTCGTCCTTCCATACATCTTTATCTAACACGTAGTCTACAATTTTGTAATATGAATTTTCAATTAAAATACTTTTTATTTAAGTTTTAAGCTTAGGCAATGTCAATCTTAATATATGCTCCGGAATCTTATTGCAAACACGTATACAATTGCCCATAAAAGAATCGTTTACCTTAGTTAAACGAAATCGTGGTAATATCATTATTTGGACTTAGTTCTAAGGCTAATAAGGAAATTATGTATATTCGTACGGGCACACAAAATATTTGAGTAAATGTACTGCGATGCCACAGTCATGATACCAGTCTCTTTAAACTTTTCTCTGAGAGATACCTGAGAATCTAAACGATACACAGAAGGAATCGCTCGTTTCTCTCAGCTGACAGCTAGATTCAATATAAATCAGTTCAGTGCCCTGAAATCAATTATGTTACTCTGGAGTTCACAGTACAGGTATTGGATGTGGTTGTACGGCACATTGTTGTTGTTAATTTTGTACAATAAACATTATTATTAAAGCGTTCAAATATTCTATGTAGGGTTGATGATAGAGTATGAAAATAAGGTGTTCTCTTTATTTTCAGTGCTAGCATCAGACTATCTGAACTGTCTAGTGCACATAGTGGAGATGGGCAATGGATTAGTGTCGTTCCAGCTGCGAGGCTTAGAATTCAGAGGGACCTATTGTCAGCAGCGGGAGGTTGAAGCCATTTCTGAGGGCCCTGAGGAAAGTAGTGGTAAGCATAATTGGGTAATTTTTAGGGCATCTACTCCTGTTCTCCGTCCAACATCAGTCTGAAACAATTACTGTCAAATAAGTAATATTTGAAGAAACCATAGAAGATACAACGAAACTGTCTTAGGAACTATCAAGTCTTTTTTAAGAAAAAAATTTTGGCAGTCAATTTTCTGGTCAAGCGTGAGTTGTCCATAAAAATGAATAAAAAATTTTTTTGTGCTGATCAACTCAGTTTTATGTGAGCTGAGGATCATTTCTTTGTATGGGACGAAAAAAATTCACCGTACTGTCCCTTTAAAAAAACACTATATAGCAATAAAAGGCCTGTGTTAATCAAAGTCAAAGAATCATTATTCCATAGGTAAAATAAATTTACACTTGAAAACGTCACATTTAAGCTACTGCTCGTTCACTACACTGACTTCCCTGAGAAGAACGAGCAATAAACTCTAGGCATTGCTAGTTTCGAATAAACTTAAATGCTGTGGAATACATTTTGAATCAAATTTGTGTAGAATCTGGAGCCACATCGTCTTTTCGTACATCTTTATCTAACACATAGTCTTCAATTTTGTAATATGACTTTTCAATCAAAATATTTTTAGTGTTTAAAACTTTTTAAGCTTAGGAAATGACAATCTAAATTTATGCTCCGGAATCTTATTGTAACAACGTATATACAGTTCCCCATAAAAGAGTCGTTTACCTTGGTAAAACGAAATTGATATCGTTAGACGTACGAACAGCTGGCAGGTTTTGTAGTTTGACTTGGTCGTGTGTTAGAGGGCGTATGTGGTGGCTGCGGCGGCTGTGGCTGCGGAGCGTGGTGGGGTGCAGGGCGGCTGCTGGCACCATCAGCCTGCTGGACGTTGCGTTGGCTGGCCTGGCAGCTGGCCTCGGCGCGATACGTGCTGGAGGGGTACAGCGTCTCTGACAACTCCGCCGTCTCGATGCTGCAGGTGTTCGACTTTAGGAAGGTGCTGCTCACGTACTACGTCAAGGTGAGTCGTTGCTATGAGGCCAGACCAAACCCGGGACCTCCGGGATTGAATGCAGTAGAAGTCCTTGTAAGAGTTCGTCCAGAGAACTACTGCCTTACCTGTTTCTTCCGCCAAGCAGTAATGTGAGCATTACTGCAATCCGGTTTGGAAGGGTATGGAAGCTGGTGAAATTACAGGCACATGAGACTTGTCAACCTTTGACTCAGGGTGACGGGCGCAGTGGCAGTGCCCCTTAGATTTTAGACACTGCAACTGTTGTGGATAGGCGTATCTCTTATTATAAAAAAAACCTCATACAAATCTCCTTAGCATAATCTGCCGTCCACTAAAAAATAGGCACAGAATTCTCTTTAAAAACAGTTAAAATTAGTTAACGTGTTCGACTTATCTGAACTTAAACTAACAACGCATAGCTGAAATATAATTAAGCAATTTCAACATTCTGAAACTAGGTTATGATTTTTATTCTTTTTCTCTTCTTTCGTTCTCAAAAAATAATTTGTCACTTTTTAGTTAGCGGACGGCAGTAATAAAATGTAATAAAATGATAATTGTCGCTACGTCTAAGGTGTCGTCACTTTGTTGTTTGTTGGATTTAGACTAGACTGTAATACCTATGTACCTGGTTCAAATATTCTCAATGTAGATATTGAGTGACGACAAAACATACTTAATTTATAGGTATACATATAAGCGGGTAGAAAGACACAACCATGATCAAAACATTCATAACACTACATTGTGCTATGACGAGGTACCGTAGAGGTGTGCCTCGTATGTCGCGTACAAACCCCCAGCACATCTCACCTATGTACTGGGGCGGGACACCTTGAGAGGTGCCCCGTGTGGACCTCCAGTCTCCCCTTTAGTCTAACCTCTGCCCAACAGGGTTCAAGCTTCGATAGCTATTAATCGCCGTGCAAGCGTACATGCCAGCTACTACCGACCCGATTGATGCCAACGATAGGCACCCACAGTCATAAGCGTCAATGAGGCTAGTTTACTGCGGGTCGAGTCAGCACTTGGCAAATTGATAGTCATAGAACATGTTTCGTAACAATATTAAACTCTACAATTAACTTGGCTGTGTGTCTTTCCACCGTGTCTATGCATGTCGTAATGTTAACAGTACATAGAGGAACTTACCAGTTGTTTGTCTCTTAGGGTACATTCACTTACACAGCCATATCTTTAGTTTTAACCAAATTGAAGTCCACTCGGTTTCCGCCATTGCCGTTGACGTTACTGCCGTCTCGATAGTGTCAAAATAAAAAGTTAGCAAAGGCAAAGCAGTGTTACCACAATACAAAAAATGGGTGAAGTTCGTTTACTCACCAAATGACTGAATATCGCGTGATTCGCGACATAAGGTTTAATAATAATGTAAATTATATATGCGACTTTCTTTCTACCACAACAGCCTTTAAATAGAGTATATTTCTTCGCGTATACTTCGTCGAACTCCATTCTACTTCATAGGACTACTATAATTGTCCTAATAGGTCCTTAATCTCATATCGATCCTCTGGATCTGAACTAGTGGGATCCTCTGATCCCTATGATGGATCTCCACACACACCCCTACAGCCCTGTTTCTGCCACCGTTTCATGCCCCTTTATACCTTTAGTACAAGTGGCAGGTCTCATTATAATTCTGTTACTGATCCGTCATACTCTATCTTCAGGCTGTCTAGTGAACAAATACTGTATCTAAGTTAATAATAAACATTGTGCTAATTACTAACTGCAGTGCCGACCAACCAGTGCACTACCAGCAGGCACCTGATACCTCAGAATTTGATATGCCTGGACTGCCTTGTTAGTTCCCTACTCTTAGGGATCATAACAGACTAAATCGATTAATGCTTGATATTACAAAACTAATACTAAATCGCGTCATAATTCGCGACAATAATATAATAAGACGAGCATTTCAATTTCCAGAGCATAATCTATTATACCATCCAGTCGAGCAAGCTGGAAGAGTGGTTATCGTCCCCGGTAATCGCAGAGGCTTTGAAGCCCATGGGCGAACGCGCCTTCGTCGATTTGGATCCCATCTTCAACGTTAACCTGGATGAAGACTACGACTTTAGAGCTTCGGGGATCACTAGGTACTGTTTATTTGTTTTGGTAGTTTTGAACAAGCAGTTTTGTACTTTAAAATTTACGAGTAAGTTGGGTAAGCTTGAAGTCAAATTTTTTCAAGTTGCGAAACCCTGAACGATGAGATGCGGTAAAGACTAATCACCGGAGCGTAAAAATGTAACATGGTCATCTATTGACTTCAAGGGAGACTCCTGGAAAGAGGTGTATAGTGAGGCACAAAAGGGCTTTAATAAAGTCTCTGCCTGGTTAAGGAATAACAAACTTAAATTGAATGCCAACAAAACAAAATTTCTAACATTTAAACAACCAAAAAATATTATTTACTAGAACATGAGCAAGCTAGCATCATTTCCAATTCTTGCACACAATCAGCATTTCGATAAAACTCTTCTTGATATAGGTTTTTTGTTATTGAGTTTCACCTGCAGAAAGTTAGTGATTTTCTTACCACACCTACATAAATTAAAAACGTTTTACCTTTAAACATGATATGTGACTAATAATAATTTTGATGATAATGGCAACGAGGACATGATTTTGTTGTACAACTTTTTAGAGTCCGCTTCTGCGCGATCTACCAAGAATGGATCGTGCACTGCGCAGCGCGGCGCGGCCCGGGCTGGCGGCGGCGTGCCGCGGCCAGGGACTCGGCCCTCGTCACGCTGTGCTTCGCGCTGTCGCTGCTGGGCAGACGAGCTCTGGCCGCCGCGCAACATCTGTCTGCCTCCAGGTGAACTGCCTACACTGCCCAACTCATGCAATCAAACTTAACGCTCTTCAGAATTGTCATTCTTCACCGTATCACCCTTTTCTGCCATTGTTCTTAAAAAAAACTTATAGTTCTATTTTTATATTTGACTGTGCCCTTCAAAATAATAAAAAAAATAATGTGACTTAGGAGCCGAGTTTAATTGTAAAATGACACTATACCGGTCTTGCTATTTTAATTTTTTTAATTGTATCATAAAAATCAGTCTATAGGGGAGCTTCAAATGCGTCTTGAGATCTGAATGACATCTCCCCATACACACTTTTAAATACTGGGTGTTAAGTCTATTAACGCCGGCCTAAATGTTTATACTTAGACGACCAAAATATTTTCGACAGCTGATCTTTTTTTGTTATTTTTGTGAGGTTCTCGTCAAGTACACGAAGTAAGTAGCTCAGTTTAAACTAACACATCCAATACGAACTTTGACTGTCGTTTACAGCGTGGAGTTTTTCCTCTACGGCCTACACTCCCTGTTCAAAGGAGACTTCCGCATCACCTGCGCACGCGACGAATGGGTCTTCACGGACATGTCGTTGCTTCACGCTGTGCTGGCGCCTGCCATTCGCATGGCGTTGAAACTTCATCAGGTATGACACTGTTCGACTGTAAAAACTCAATCGATCGACTGAATATCTGTACGTCATAGTAATGTTATTGTAATATATATAGTGTAATACAACGTGAAAGTTGTACAGAGTACACGAGTATTAAGAAAAAACGTACGTGTGTTGCTATACCGTTGATACTGAACAACTATTCCCCAATGAATCAATTAGTGGTAATAGAGCTCCTCGCGAAAGAGTTCGTCCAGGGAAGTACTGCCGCCTTTCCTATTTCTGCCGCCAAGCAGTAATGTGAGCATTATTGCGTTCCGTTTTTGACGAGTAAGGATGAAATTACAGGCACATGGGACTTGTCAACTTATGTCTCAAGATGATCGGCGCAGCGGCAGTGCCCTTCAGATCTTTGCTATTTAAAGCTCTGAGTGACACTGCAACGTTATGGATAGGCGTCTCTGTTATGGACTTGTTCGTCCCGTCACTTAATATTATATATAAAAAAGTAAGCGTGTGTCCTAAGACCCCCACGCTCATTCATGGATGGACCCATTTGACGTGTTTGCTTTACTATTAATTTACATTTCTTTTTTTTTATTGTATTTGCATGTGATGTGAAAATGAAGTCGCGAATTGGATATGGGTTCTTTAGGGTAAGTTGTTCAGTGTTATTGGTAGAGTCACCTCATGAAAATTTGAACCGTAATTTTTTAACACCCTGTATAATATTCTTGCTTGTAAATTATAAAAGAAATATGTTTATTTATCTGTATTAATACGTATGTAGTTATATCTATAGATAAAAAAATCAATTGTTTCATATTATAAATTACGAAATTTGTACAAATGTTACTCAGTTCCCTTTGTAACGACTAAACGGCTTGGGATAAAATTCGATGGGTACAAATTAGTAGTCTATTTCCAGAATTAACACCATGTTGCACTTTTTGTCACCGACGAGAACGAGTTGCCAGTAGAAGCTAATGTAAAAAACACCTCGTCAACTCTAGAACCAAATTCAAAGAAAAGAACAATGCCCAGTTCCTTACAGTCCTGGACCAGCTAGGACGCATTTGTGCGGAAACACCTTGAATTGAATTTTGTGTAGTTTATAATGAAAGTGGTTGCCGCAGGACCACTTCATGTTCCCGGAAGAGTACTGCAGCGCGAGCGCACTGTACGCGGCGATCTCGGCGCACTCGCAGCGGCTGGTCATCTGCCACGAGGCCGCGCCGGCCTGGAGGTACAACGTCCTGCGCGGGGCGCCGCATCTCCTGGCGCTCAGGTATTCCGTTTCTACGTTACCTTAAAGCCAGTTTTTCAGATAACGATTCGATACCCACATCGCCTCTTTCTTTCGCAACTTGATTAGACAAATCGAGTTCTTAAGTTTGACCTTTTAGTAGCAGTAGAGCTTCTTGTGAATGAGTTCGTCCAGGGTAGTACTACATTGCCTATTTCTGCCGCCAAACAGTAATGTCAGCATTACTGTATTCCGGTTTTGAAGGGTGAAATTACAGGCACATGGGACTTGTCAACTCGTGTCTCAGGGTGACCAGTCGTAGTGGTAGTGCCCTTCAGATCTTTGCAATTTAAAGCTCTCAACAGGCATGTAACTTAACATCAGACGCACGACTTGTTCGTCCCGTCACTTGATGTTATAAAAAAAAAGACCTGCCGCTCAAGCAGAAGCCGTGGTTTCGAATAATGGCTAACACCTCTGAGATTTTCGGAAATCATGTTCGAAGTTTAATTTGAAATTTGCCGTTGAAGAAGGTTCACAGCCCTTGGAAAACGTGTGAAGTTCCCAACCCGTATTGGACAAGCGTGACGAACTTTAACCAAAACTCTCGTCTGAGTAGAGACCCGTTCTCGGCAGTGAGACGTATAATTAGATTAATAATGAAAAATTACTTATATTTGTTTATTGGAACAAACCGACGTTTCTCGCGCTTTGCAGGTCCCATGGTCACAGCTGACTCAAACGGCAAATCAGTGAAGTCTAATATTAATGAAAACCACCTTATTTTGACCTATAGTTACAGAGTCAAGAGCACGACAAGCTTTACACTTCAGATTTAAATTCAGCTCTATGCCGCTTACGATAACAACGGTCCAAAGTACAAAGTGTCAAGATTGGTGTGCCCTTGACTATACAAGACTACCATGACCTGAGTCAGCTGTGACCTTTAGACGTGTAAAGGGCCCGAAATGTTGGTTTGTTTCAAAACAGATACCCGCTATTTATTCCATTTCCATGACATGGAGAATTTTTTTCAGAACAATCTAATTTTATTATCATTACAATTGTCTAGGAGTTATCAACATTGATCTCAAGCCTGACCTTTATTTGCAGACACGTTATGGATGAAGGCAACGTGGACGACTATAAGATAATAATGCTAAACAAGCGCCACTTAGGGTTCCGTGTTATTAAGCTGAACCGCGAGTGCGTGCGAGGCCTATGGGCTGGACAGCAGCAGGAGCTGGTCTATTTGAGGAACCGGAATCCTGAAAGGGGATCCATACAGAATGCTAAGCAGGTTTGTTTTAAAGATGTTGTTTCAGTTGACAAATAGAAAATGTTAGTAACTTTCTCTGATTGTGTGCATCCTGCTCAACGTCCTTTGACGATCTCTGTGGTCGAGTAGTTTGCACACCTGTTTTCATGGTATCGCCATCTCTGAGGCCCGGGTGCGATCTCCGGCTGGGTGTAGAAATCTGAGTGTTTTTTATTTCATATAATAACACACACACTCATAGCATTAGGAAAATTTTGTATCGCGGGTGTCATGGACACACATAGACAACCACAAATTAAATCAAAGCCACAAAAGAGAAGTAGGTGTAGGCTATTCAAATGTTTTTCCCGGTCCGGGAATCGAACCCGGGACCTCTGCGTGGCAGACCAGCGTGTTCGGCCACGGACGAACCAGGCTACTAAATGACCAACAATTGTTAACCCTTCACCACTAAAATATTTCGCTATGTTTGATTCCAGGCTCTCCGTAATATAATAAACTCGTCGTGCGACCAGCCGATTGGGTACCCGATCTATGTGTCACCTCTGACCACGTCGTACGCGGACTCCTCGCCGCAGCTCTGCCAGCTGGTCGGGGGACCTGTCACCGTTTCCGCTATCAGGAATAAACTGGCTAATGCTTGGAGAAGGTATACGAGCCGTTATAAACTTGAATATCATTTTAGTTATTTACGACGTCTCAATTTTTTTCTTTCGATGAAGTCATCCTTATAAGAACCTGAGTCTTATATTATTAAAAAAAATAGTCTAATTTGTTCATTTTGTACGAAAAAATATTTTATGAAATTTGACCAACTTCTGCTACGATTTTTTTTCGTCCCATACAATGAAATGATCCCTTCATGAAACTGAGTCGATCAGCACTAAAAAAAATCGATCAGTTTTCGTTTTTATGGGCAACTTACGTTTGACCAAAAATTGACTATGCCAAAATTGTTTTCACAAAAAAAAGTATTAATAATTCACAAGACAGTTTCCTTGTATATTCTATGGTTTCGGATTTTCCCATACTATCCCATTCAAAGAAAACTCTATATCCAAACGTGTTAGTGACAATTCGACCCCTCCTACGTAAAGTATCGTATGTCGAAATTGCCAAGTTTACAGGGGAGCGTTTTCAAGTACTGAATTCACTGAAAGAGTGATCACCATAGATCATCTAACCGATATCTAGGATTTTATAATACTCTATGTGAGTAATGAGCATTGCCGAATAAAACTGAGAAATGCTAAAGTCACGTGTTATGTTCGTTTCAGTGAATTCAGAACTTTAAAACGCTTCCCTGTAAACTTGGCAATTTCGACATACGATACTTTACGTTGGAGGGGTCGAATTGTCTTATGAACTATGTTAGTAAATTTATGCATAATAAATTCAAAAATATGAGAAATGCGTGAGAATGTGAATGCCTTTAATATTCGGCTGTCAAGTTTGGACTGTTGGCGCTGCCGCACATGCGCATTATCAAGGATTAGACTCGCTTGCACATGACACATCTGCGACGCTACAGTAACACAGCAACCCCATCAGCATCCTGAACGCAGTCACAGTTTCTTAGTCTGTCAACTAGTCCAAACGGTCCCTGCTCGCAAATGTTTCGAGTAAAGAGAAAGAACCAAAAAGGCCTTAAGACGAAGTGTTGTGGCGGCAGGATCCGGCGGCGCTGCGGCGAGGGCTGCTCCAGCGGCGGCGGCGCGTGCGAGGCGGGCGCGGCAGAGGCGGGAGCGGCGCGCGCGCAGGCCACGCCCCGCCACAACACGCTGCACCTCTCCCGGACGTCGCTAGGTCAGTTCTCCTCCTCCTCAGTAGGACGTAAACACTTCGTACGGCTGTCGCGGTTGTGTACAATATTTTTATCACACTTGATCGTATATAGAATAACGCGCTCAAAAAATAGGAACAAAGACAAACTGTTGACTTCAAGTACACTGAAAAAGCATTACTTTTTAATTTTTATTAAAACCTATGTTAATACAGTTGGCATTATTTCATTTATCCATTTCACAAAGTATACTCATAGTTACCATGGCTAAATTTCAAATAAAAAAAATAAAGTTTGCCACATGTAAGTAACAGCACACAAACGCTTAAATGTCCCTCTGTGCGTAATTGTATACTTACCGCCCTTGTAATAAATACATTCTGTTTACCCATTGCTAACCGCGGCCGTGCAAGTTTTTGTTAACTATATATCTCGGATTCCACTTTTACCACGTACACTATTAGAAATTTAAGTACCTGGTTAATAATAATAGCCAAAAAGTCTGTGACGTTTTTACCACTTGCCAACTTTAAACAAAAAAAAACATTGTCATTCAATAAAAATTTAATTACAGTTAATAGCGATATCTGTAACCAGGGCTGGTAGCTGTTATGGTACCTAACTGGGTGACGAAATACTTTCATACATTTCTCATAGATGGCGCTACAGCTAAAAGGTCGTTGAAAACGAAATACAAAGATCCGACAACAAGCACATAGAAAAATTCGTCGATTCCGCTGGTTCGTTCCGTAGCTTAGTTGGCATAGCGTCCGGCACGGTTCGCTAGGAGACGTGGGTTCGAATCCGGTCGGATCGAAGGAATTTTTTCTAAGTGTTCGGTCTTTGTATTAATAATTATAAAAAAACTTTCAAAATGTCAACAGTATATGTATACGGTCATGTAAATTTTCCACGAATTTTTTTGATTCTCTCTACGTATTTACAAAGCAAAAAGTCACACCTAAAGTGATCAGCCGCTATAGATGTGATTTTTTGTTACCTAGACTATTTTTGGATAGTTTTGATGCTGATAATACAATATTGACAAATGAATAAATATCGATTGCTAAGGTTTTCGCGGTTGCCACATTTAGAAAGACGACTTAGACGATTTTTTTTTTCATTTCTAATGTTTTTGCAGCTGGTACCCGAGGAAGTCTGGCTTCGGCGGGCAAGCCGACGTCGTCCACGCTTGCGTCTCTAGCCGGTCTGCTCAGGGAACACTCGCATGAACGTACGCAGGATGAACCAGGTTGGTATTTTCCATTGATCTGTATTACAGCCAGAAGATTGGAATGAACAGAGTATTTTTACTTAACCGTCAAGTAATACACATAGAATGAAAAGAACCAAAAAGAGTGAAAGAGAAACAAAGGAAACGAGAGAAAGAAAGAACGATAAATAGAAAGAAAGAAAATGCATTTATTTCATCACCATAAATGACGCCACTTTACAAACTAAACAATTCAGAAAAATTGGAACATATCACAACATTTAACAATTACAAAACAAAATCATAAACAAAAAAATTAAAATACAAATTATTCACATAAACAAGGACATTAAAAAAGATTCTTTGTGTGCCAGCTGCGGTATCAAAATGGTTAGTAACTCTGTATTCGCTGGAAAACGAAGTGAGTTTTCAGCACTGTTAGGAGTCTAAGTTAGGATAAATACCTAGCTCTGAAATTCCTGAATGATTAAAAATAAAAAGCAAATCAAACAAAATAGTTAATTTTTACTTACTTTCATAAAACAACACCATGTTGTTTAATGAAAGCATTTATTAACTTGTGTTATTTTGTTGTATCACAGCGTACGGCAGTACAGTGGACACAAGCGAACCGCGCCGGCGCAGCGATGAGCGCGGGGGTGGGGGCGGAGCGAGAGAGGGGGCCGCAGCCGGGCAGAGGAGAGAGAGGAACATGAGGGCAAGATCTGCAGGGAAGGAGGCCGCTCGACAAGTATTATTCTTTGCTTGTAAAATACATTATCATTTTGAAAAACCTGAACCCCCAACGCGCTGCCTCAATTTGTTTTGTTCTTGAAATGACTTCCTATATGTTGATAATTATTAATAACAAAAGCCTGATTAAATTGAAAAAGCAAAAGTTTTTAGTGCTTTATTGCCTTAATATAAAGGGTAGGCGTTGGCACTTCTTCGTAAAATGTTCAATCGTTTACATTTTTTAAAGAATGATAGGAAGCGTATACCTTTAATTCGTGAAAGTAGCAAACAGGTAGCAATTATTGGTAATATATACTTCTGGGAAATCTGCTCCCTTCATGCTGAACAAAGTGGCGACCAACCATCCTGATATCAGAATGACTGGTCAACTATTTTTTTTTAATTTCTCAGAATATATCAAAGGTAGCAATTATTTAGAAAATGTAGCAAATACAAGCAAATAGTAGCATATAGGTAGCAATTCTTGAATGTACATTCAGTGCCAGACGCCACAGGCGATCAGCCATCCTAACGGTCACTAATATGAGCCTTCGAAATTATATTTTTGCAATTTTTCGGGAAATTTTTCGGAAAATTACCCAACAGTATTCCTCCCGCACCGCGCATCTACCTCAGGAACCGAGTTAGTTAAGCGGGAGGCCTGTACAAGGATCAAAATATCACTTGAACCAATAATGATGTACAGGCGGGCAGCGCTGGCCGCTTCCGTCCGTCTTCGTCACGCGAGCGCGCTCCGGCGTCGTTCCGACTGCTTCCGGCCGCCGACGACACCGATGACCGCAAGAACTACGACGATCGCATGGTTAGTTCTTTATTTATTCATATTCTTATCTGTTGATACGAGTCTCTAATCGAATTGTACTAAACTCAAACTAGGATGATCCCTGTGACACTTTGACGTTTGATTTTTTATACTAAGTGAGGGAACGACCAAGTCGTGCGCCTGGTGGTAAGCGACACGCCTGTTAGTAACAGTTGCAGTGCCACTCAAAGCTTTTATTCGCGATTAAATTTAAAATTGAAATGGAAGTGTTACGCTTCCACATTTATATGGCGAACGACTATGGATTGGAATTCCTTGCCTGCAGACTTCTTCCCTGAACGTTATAATTTGGGCCTTTTCAAGGCGAGAGCGAATAGGCATTATTTAGTTGTGCATGCTCATCGTCTTTCCATCGGGTGAGATGGAGGTCAAATGCGCACTTTTAATTTGTAAAAGAAAGATCTTAGAGGCACAGCCACTGCGCCCTGCTGAGACATAAGTTGACAAGTCCCATGTGTCTGTAATTTCACCAGCACTCTTACCCTTGAAAACCGGAACACAGTAATACCAGACATTACTGCTTGGCGGCAAAAAAGGTAAGATGGCAATACTTCCGTCAGGTTAGGTCGATGGTTGGTGATACAATTTTTATTGACTTCACGTTTTATTCTGGCTTGAGTAATGTTCAAAATTGAAAACCGCCAGCGGATGATAAGTCATTCAATTTCAGTCACTCAGTTGGGCCACATATTTCACATATCGGTAACACCTACAACAACCAGTACAATTAAGTAATAACGTAAAGTAAAACGTGTTGTAAAGGAGGCGGCATGCTACGTGTTACCCCGCGACCACCCGCTGGCGCTCATCCGACATGCCGTGAGTTTAGAGGCTTCTGTAGCGGAACCTGTTTCTTAGATTCTTGTTTATTTGAGGCTCGCATTAATAAATCTCAAGTCTATTATAGGATCCGTAACAAGATGTTACTGATGGACTGTCTTTTAAATTTTTTATTGAATTGATATTCAATTTTTTTTTATGAAATTACTCCACTAGTTTAATTATTAATACAAAGATCGAACACTCAGAAAAAATTCCTTCGATCCGGCCGGATTCGAACCGACGTCTTCTAGCTTATCGTGCCAGACGCTAAACCAACTAAGCCACGGAACGAACTAGCGGACCTCACGAATTTTTCTATGTGCTTACGTCGTGTCTTTGTATTTGGTTTTTAACGACTTTTTAGTCGTAGCGCCATCTATAAGAAATCTATGAAAGATTTATCATCCAGTTAGTACCTTTACAGCTATCGATTATCTTTAATAAAAACATTTAACTGGAAAAAACATATATAAAAAAAAGTTAATAAGATGATTCGATTTACAAGCGCAATACGAGAAATCAAGAAATCTACAGATTTCTCTACTTCTCTCTCTGTATATTACTATGGGCAATAGTACCGAAGCATCATCTCTATTTACAAAGCAAAAAGAACTTATCCGAATAATAGTTAACCTTAAAAAAAACCAATAGCAGCAGACCACACTTCCAAAAGTATAATGTTCTTACGTTATCATATTCATCTTTGAGATTTGCAAATTTGTTCGTAAAAATCAAGATATCTTTAAACGCCATCAGGATATCTCATCAATATAATAATAATATAATAATTACGACATAAAAATAAGATTAATTCTAACTAGACCTAGATTAACTCTGCATTCGTTTAGCTCATACGACATGTGTAAAAAAAAATTGTAACAAATAAACAAAAAATAACGAAGCAAGTGATAAAATAAAAACTAAGATTTGTACCGTACGTACCGCAGCAGTGTAAATTGAGCCTGTAGGACCACTGTTTACGACTTGCAACAACAGTGAAAATGACGTGCGGATGTCGCTTCCGCTCGCCGACGCGATAGAGGTGTCCCCCTGCATAAACGATTACCTTATTACCCCTTAATACAATTGTAATGAACGTCACTTGGCACTAAAGCTAATACTCCAAATTGTTATCAATCAAATGCAGCGTCTTGGTCAATAGAGATGGTGTCATCGAAGATGGCGATGACTATAGTCTATTAATGATTTGAGGTTTGTAAACATTACCCCTTAATAAACCTGTAATAAACGTCACTTGGCACTAAAGCTACTACACCAAATTGTTATTAATCAAATGCAGCGTCTTGGTCAATAGAGATGTTGTCATCGAAGATGGCGATGACTATAGTCTGTTAATGATATGAGAGTTGTCAAAATTACCCTTTAATTAACCTGTGATAAATATCACTTGGCACTAAAGCTACTACACCAAATTGTTATTAATCAATTGCAGCGTCTTGGTCAGTAGAGAAGGTGTCATCCAAGATGGTGGTGAGTATAGTCTGTTAGCACTGAAGACCTCTCAGTCGATAGGCACTGAATATCGGATTTAGGAGCTATTTATTAATACGGGCCCAAATGTCTAGCGAGTTTTATTCTGCATCTGTTATATTTTGTTTTCTTTTTTTTTTGCTATGTTTTGTAGTAAATATGGTACGAAAAACGGCACGTGCAATTTTTTATACTTTAGGCTAAATTCAATGCCACTTACGTCCCAAAATATAAAAAAACCTTGTGTGGTATTGAATATATGTTTTTATATTTTATTACGGGCAACTAGGTAGACTTACGAAATTGGTAAAACTTGGTAGCTTTACATACCCATAGATTACGACCTTTTGATATTATGATATGGTATGGTCTGACGGGCTGGAGTCCGCAACTCGACGCTTATTTTACGAGTAGTGGGTGCAGACGTATGATATTAAATACGTACCTTTTGATATTAAACATACTTTAAAACATAAACATACCTTTGTTTTGACGTTAAACATACCTTTTAACTTTAAACGTACCTTTTGAAGTTTTTTTGTAATACTAATTGAATTGACGAACAGGACGTGTGCCTGGTAATAAGCGACACGCCTGTCCCTAACAATTGCAGTGCATTTTTTTTATCTTTAATCACAAGGATCTGAGGGGCATTGCCACTGCGCCCGATATCCTGAGACATAAGTTGACAAGTCCCATGTGCCTGTAATTTCACCAGCACCTTCGGAACCGGATCGCAGTAATGTTCACATTGCTGCTTGGCGGCAGAAATAGGTAACTTGGCAGTACTTTCCTGGACGAACTCTTTCAAGGAGCACTACTGCTATTTGTTAAACGTACCTTTTGAAATTAAACGTACCTTTAGATATTACTAGTAGTTTAAAATATTGTTTCCTTTTTTTGGCTAAGATTTTAGCTAGTCTAGAATGTTTTGCTTACTTGTTATCATTTCTGCATAATATGTAAATGAATATAATTGAACGCTTAGTCTGTTATCGGACGTTGATTAGAAGTTGTAAACAAAAATCTTACACAATGCTCAATATTTTTCCAATAGCACGTGATATGGACAATTTGTCTCCACACGGTGCTAGCAGAGATCAAGAAACTAAATACAACAATAATTTGTTTACTGTATCGAAATAGACAAAATGAAATTGTTTGGTATTTATGAAAGCAGTAACAAATAAGTTTATTATTATTATTAGTAAGGAACGCTTGTATGTTAAAATTTGTTTGACACAGTCCAGCACAAGTCGTGCGAGTGGCGGCATTGATGGTGCTGCGGGAGGCGCTGCACTAGCTGGATCCTCTGAGTCCTCCGTTGAAGAGGTGTCCCTCACACCGCACGGGCTAGACATGTCGCTACCTGACTGCAAGATCCTGGCCAACCGCGCCGCGCAACCGCCTCACCACGACAGGCACTTCAAGAGGTAGCTTTATTTCAACTTATCCTAACCTTTTCTTTTTCATTTAAGTAAATGCCAGCCCCGTCGGTAATAAATTATATTTAATAACCTTTCCTTAAGTAATTTAAGTATTGTCTACCGGCACATTTACCGGGACAACGTTACACATAAAGTAACAATTAAATTAACTTATTTTAACATCCACCAGTACAGCCGTATCCAACTTTTATTTTAAAAAATGGATGTTAAATAAAATGCATTGTTTTTAGATATTGTGAGAAAGTAAAAACAGCTGAAAATTTTTGAAACAGTTTAACATTGATTTAATCAAACTTTGTAACAGAAGTAAAAAACTCTTTCAACTAATGTTGATGGAATTAACGAGAACTCAGCATCAATCTCGAACCACTAAACAAACCTTTATCAAAAGGACATTAAAACAAATAAATAAACCTATAAAAAAGTAAGATAAACGAAATCGCCGATATACTGGGAAAAACAATTATTTCACATAATATCGACTTTGAAATTAACGCAATTGAAATTTCAACGTCGCGTATTTCCTATGCCTGCCGTGATCATCCCACGTTAATTTGTAACAGGTGATTCTATTTTGTGTTTTACCGAAATTTGGAAATGTTTCCATTTTACATAAGCAATTTTGTCGCGGTATCCTATATTATGTCATCTTCTGTGAAAATTACAGATAGTTAGTTTTCGCTGTATAACGACGAAATGCCGTCGTAACTCAACAATGTGGAATTGGGAAAACACTATTTGGAAATTTAAAAAAATGTAATGGAAGATCCATATTGTGTGTGATTATTTTTATTTATACATAATATTTAGTTATTCATTTATAAACGAGAACAATTGTATTTATTGGTTTCATTCAGTAATTTTTTAAACTTTCAAATCGTGTTTTCTCAATTCATATCATAAATTTAAGTTACGACAGTTATTGTTAGTAAGTTAGTTTTGGTGTGAATTTTACCGGCCTGAATATTATTGGAATTTGAAGGAATACATATACCAACATCTCCAGATTGGTTACCTATCACAAGCTAGAAACATGATTTAAAAAATTTTGTTCCTCCGAAAACCTTTAGACTTTTATTGAATGGATTGTGTTTCATTTGTCCGAAAACACGTTACGGTTTTTTTCATTACACCATTTAATGCTTTTTTGACATATTGACAAGTTATTTTTTTCCCGATTTTTATTTCCCCAACAAACCGTTTGACCATTATATCTAATTGAATATTTTATTTTGTAAAAAAACGATATCCATAATACATTTTTGTTATATTATTTCTTATTACAGGTACTAAAAGTGTTAGAACATGTCGCACACTACAACTCGTCAAATTAAAGCTTCTCGCATCTTTAAAAAATACGGTAAACGAGATGCAAGTTAATTTGATCGAGTTGTAGTCGCTCGCTTCGCTTGTTCGGATCGTACTGCTTTTTCATATACTAACCTAACCTAAACCTACAGGAGGGGATCGTACCGTCTAGGAAATGCAAACAAATTCGGTTCTCCTCCAGTACTCCTCGATTCTGTTATAAGTTATTTATTTAATACTCAGACCATTGCTTTTAAATTACATTTCACATGACAGCAAAAACATAGCACAATGGTGTGACGAAAATTATGTAGGTGGACTTGCTGTGCACTAGCAAAGTACAGTCCAGAATTGTGAAGCTGTACGGTAAAATTGTATGGCGGTACAATTTTATCTTGTATGGCGGTACAATTTTATCTTGTATGGCGGTATAATTTTATCTAAGAATAATAATTTTGTCGAAATAAATTATATGGAAAACAGACAGTATAACAAACATGATTAGACCAAACAAACTTCTGCTCAAAGAATACGTATGTGTAATAATTATTCTAATAATAGGTTTTCGGAAACTATACTTCTGCTGTAAGACATTTCTGTGTTGCAAATTTATACCAAAACTGTCATCGCACTAATGAAAAAAGTCGAACCGTTTTCGGAGTAATGAGATTCGGAAAAAAGAAATTCGAGTTTGTGATAGGTTACCCTCCAGATTCCAGGCTTTAATTCTATCAGACTTCATTCCCGTAGCTAATCGGCAATTAAATGTCAATATCTCTCAAACGATACAAAGAGCAAAGAATATTCCATTCTTTTCTCATACGCATTAAGATAGTAAAGCATTTCGTAAGAATGGGGTGGACATTTCTTGAAATATGTTGTCACCTTTTTGTTGCAGCCTGTATATTACTTGTGATCAGACATATCAACTTTGTTCTCAGATACTTCGTAAATGAAGGCACGTCGAAAGACCTATCAAAACCAAGCAAGGAGATTCGTCACGAAAGAGAATCATATCGGGAACTTACAGGGCGATACATCGAAAAGCCAGAATCTATACCTTTAAAAGAAACACATTACTCTGATCTATCGAATAAAGAATCAGTATTAAAGAAAGATAAAAAAGATAAAAAGGAAATCAAGACAAAGATAAAAAGATCCGATTCTGGTAGGAGTGAATTGAAAGTTAATGTTAGTGTGGGCAGTAAAGTACTTATAACTGAGCCTTTGGGGGTGTATGATTGCATCAATTTGGGGAGGAGGATTGATGTGCAATGGCCGACGGAAGCTCAGCGGGAAAGAGGGGGGCAGAATTTCTGGGGGAGTTGGGTGCCTCTTGCCGGGATGGATGGACTGGTAAGGTTTTTTAGCTGTTGTAACTTAAAAACTCCCTAAGCTCCTGACAAACTCTTTCGCGTTTTCCACTCTCTGTACATTTATTTATTTTAACGTAAATTGATTATTTTCTTCGTATAATAGTTTTTTGTGCCAATTTGTTTTCTTTTTATTTTTTATTTAGTGCTTTTGATTTTTTGTACCGAAATATAATTGGCTGTGGTCTTCCAATTTATGAAGAGCCATGGCAGAATAACAGCATTATGTAGTTTTCATATTTCTCAGATGCTGAGTCATGGACCCTCGTGATATGCTTTTTTATTTTAAATCAATTGTATTTTTTATGTCTTTTTTGTGTCATTAAACATACACACACACTCATAGCTCCGCACTAGGCAAACCCTGTATCGCGGGTGCCATGGATACACACATAGACTATCACAAATTAAACCCAAACTCACGAGGGAAATAAATGTTGGTCATACAAATATTTCTCCCGGTTTGGGAATCGAACCCGGAACCTCTGCGTGACAGACCAGCATGTTAATCATTCGGCCAGAGGTAAACAGTAAACAGTAAACAGCTTTTATTACATAATGGAGATTAAAATAACAATAATAAGCAATCAGTTCTCTGCCAACCTTCAGGATTGAAGAGGCAGTAAAAGAAGAAGAATTAAAGATTAATAATGGCTTAAAAAGTTTCTCAAAACGTCATTCACAAATGATGCAATAACACAGTCATAACAAAATTAATCTTACGGCTCACACGTTAAATGTTAAGTTTGTTTAACACTTCTTCACATTGGTCTACTCAGAATCAAATAGTTGATTAGGGTGTCAAGTATCTTAGGACGACATCGAGGTACTTCCCACAAGTTCCGTCCACGAATAACATTAATTAAACTTTCGCAGGTAGTGCACAAATGGACGCCTAACCATCGCGACCCGAAGCTCCGGTCCCATGTGGACAAGAGCATTCTTCTAGTTCAGATCGACGACAAGTTCGTCCCTATCGCCGAAAACTGCGTCCAGGACTTGGGAGACGAAGTCTGAACTCACAATTATCGTAGGAGAAATATAGGCAAATTATAGTTAATTCAAAATAGTGTCCGATGTAACGAAAGCTATGGGAGATTGGAAATATTTAGTGACAGGAATTGGCTAGCATCAGTATTCTTTTTATGTTACAGTTCAGCGAGTTCAAGATACGATTAAAAAAACTGAATATAACAGTTATAAAAATCGTTCCTAGAATGTACGTCTACAATTATTTCCTTGGCTAGGAAATGCTATGAACTCTTACTATCTTCCCTATAGTGAATACTAGGACTGTAAGGAAGCAACAGTAAATTACCTAGTTAAATAATCCAGCTTCATATAGGATGTCGAAAAAAATCATGTGATTCAAGAAAGCTCCCAACGGAGTGAAATAATTAGACTGAATTATTTGGCTGAAATAAGCTTTATAGTCTGTCGATATAATCTCGATTATTTCTAGATTCTAGAAAAAATCATGTAATTTAATACCATCGATAAATTTGAGTCAAATAACCATAGGAATTTTACCATACACTTTACTAGTTCAATATAGATTCTTCCCGTATTGCGAAATTTGGAAGAACTAATTCTACTGCCTAAAAAGGCAGTTTTATATAGGTCTAGTAGAATCTCATGACATAATAAACAAGGAATAACAATGTAATCTCAATCACAATTAGGCATCTGACTTTTGCAATCAAAACAACGATCTAAGTTACCAATGTCATTTCCAATAAACAATGTAGATTCTTAAAATTTTGTAATTTCACCATTTTCAATTTATTTACTTGTTAGTTCGGTAATTGTTATTAGAATAGTGCTACAGTATTTATTGTGGTGGTGCTCTAAGCCATATTCTCAATTAAAAGTGAACACAGTTCACAAAACAACGTAAAAAAACTCTGACTAAATAAAAAATACAGGATAATTACGATCTCGGTTAGTATCAAATTGAAAAGAAAAAAATATGTAAGAAAAGTCCTAGCACACCGCAGTAGTAAAATTTTTCGTCCTTCGAGTCAAGCTAAGACGTCTAATAGGCCATACTGCCAGATAGTAATGTTGTCTTAAGTAGTTGAATTTTCTCATTTTTCGCGGGAAATCGTTATGTCTTTACGGTGGCCATTTTGAAATTTCCTAATACACCACAGAATAAATAAAATTGTTTTGTATTTAAGAAAAAATTCCGTTTATCCCTGTGTTGCTATAAACAATTTTCAATTTGTCATGAGATTCTGGTTGACCTCTTAGAGCCACCTTTTCAAGGTGTAAAAGTAGCTAATCTATACTAATGAATTAACAAAAGCTGTGTGACGCATATGAAGGAGTACTGTCCTATTCTTTTTTCACGATTTAGGGACAGATCTCAACAACGCAGTTCAACATTGTACCAATAGATGGCGCCTCGAAGTATCCTTGTATTTTCGTATGCCATTTCATTTTCGGTGTTCATGTCCGTTCGTTTTTCGTTTGCTTGTGTATCTCGCTTCGCGCATACGCAAAGATCTGACGCGTACGCGCAGGCAGGACTGTTCACGAGTCGCTCGGTTGTGCTAGCCGCTTGCTTTGCGTTGCGTGAGTTTGATATCTAGTAAGCTTGATATTTCCAAGCGACGGAACGTTTGCGGAGGACAGCACCACTGGCCAATCACAGAGGAGCAACCAAAACAAGGCAAGGCGCCGCGCAAGCGCGCAAGTTTTGCCGCAAACCATAGCGGAAGACCCGTGAACGCCTTTGCGCCGAAGGCAGATTTCTACGCCGTGTACCCAGCCAATACAAGCGAACGAAAAACGCAAGTGAAAGACTCGAGAACCCGGCATTAACGCCATCTATTGAGCATGGAGAGAACAAAAATAATACACAGTGTGATTGATTTTCCCCATAATTGGACTAATGACTCCAAGCGAGATGTTTTACCGCTTACTCAAACATAACCATGTTGTTCACATAAACTTTTGTTAATTCATCTATAAAGTAACTATTTAAAATTACTTAACGTGAGATATAACTTGATTGTGTTCCTGGTCGATATAGACCATAAAAGATATTGTCTATGAAAGTCCAGAAAGGATTGTATGAAAATAATTTTTATGAAAAGCAGCTTGTCTTCTTATAAAAATGCAGCTAAATGTATGTGATTACATATTTACATTTATGTACGTGCTATAGTTTAAATTTTACTGTGTTTTAAGCATGGGTTACTTTTAAGTGTGTTAGTGAGACTATAAGGGGTGATATTTTGTCCTCGACTCTAAGAGATGACAGTATGAACAATTACTGTTGCGGGGACCTTATTTAATTTCTGGAAATGATCAATCGTTCCATACAGTTTTGGATATGTAAATATAAAACATTTTCTATGAACAACTGTTATTTTGTATGACTTAACTCTTGACTTAGCTCCCGTAGTGTTAACATAGTTGTTCATATAAATGCTATTCAGTTATGTCAGCCTGTATAAAAATTACGATAATACCGCACACCGGCAACACAATGATATAATAGACAATGTCACAAACCAAAATTTTTTTTTGTAACGGGCGTGCACAAAATTTCCTTACTTTTCGGTAAAAACATCTTATAATCTTATTGGTCTAAAGTTAACCGCATCATCAATAATAATATTTGCGAACTTCGAAAAGTTGTTCATGTGTAAGAAATTGATAATATACATTTTTTTAAAATAACGCACAAGACTATGCCAGATTATGACAACGTTCTATTTGATGTGAAAAACGATATATTTGTTAGTTATATTTCGTCCTTTTTTATTTATTCTGGCAGTAATTACTTGCCATTTTTCACATGTGTCAGTGTTGACGTCGGTGTAGGATCCTATTGGTTGCTTAATCTGTATTAAGAGTTATGAAAATACAATAAGGTGTTGCGGTGTGTAGTGCATATAGGGGTGCATTTATTATTTTCTACGCGATCTGCATAAAAATTTGTTAAAGATTGGAGTACTACTCGCCCAGTTTCGATTTGCCACAAAAAAATTACCTCTGTCTCCCACTGGGATAACACCATTACCGCTTTCTCCGTTCGTATCTGTCTCGTCATACATGTCCGTATATTCTTTTTTAAGGACATCTTAATCTAATCGCAATTATATACCACACCCTTTTCTGCATCCAATTTAAACAAAAATACATGATTTTAGATTTGCTATTATTTTTAGATTTGTCATTGCCACCTGTACCATCATTACTTCCTGACAACGAAGACCACAGATTTAATTTTTGTCTGAATGAATGTAGTTTGTGAAGCAATGGCCATGAACAACAACAACAAATAGAATCATTAACTAGTACTAATCCGCATAGAACGACTGGGATCTATCAAGTCAGAATTTTTTTAAATTACTGGTAAACTGGAAAACATTGACTATAATAAAATTAGCCTGTCAAGATAGTTGATGAAATCAATCGCAACATGATTAAATTCATTACTTAAAATGGTTGCTGCAATCATTAAAACGGTTGCTACAATCTTTAAGATGGTTGTTACGATCATTAAAATGGTTACTGCAATCTCTAAAATGCCTGCCACAAAATTGTTGCTACACTCATTGCACTTGATGACTCAAAAGTATTGCAAGGAAACAGGTTGTGTCACCTCAAACAACAACTTGTTTATTTCTATCACATTGTTTACGGTGTGGTATGACTTGATACTATTTATGCGCTATCATAACATCATTAACTGATTATATGGCCCACTGCTGGGCCAAAGTTTAGGCCATAGTCCGCCAAATTGACTTAATGCGAGTTGGGTACTTCAAGGGTTGAAAACATTCACAAAAATGTACGTAATTTAGACATTTAATTTATGTAGGTATATGTCGGCACAGAGATGCGAACTTTCGATCTCTCGATCAGAAGCAACCGTATTCTCACTGGGTTATTATGGCTCTCGCGGTTTGCCTGTTTGAATACCCATTAATTTCTATATAATAATATTTTGGTGGTTTGTTGAACGGTACTGTTGGTGAAAAAAGTTATTAATAAAATACTTTGTAGAAAATAAAGTAGTCTTGAAACAAACGTGGCGAATTGATACTAGGTTGGAGTACGATTTTTGTTCTTATATAGCAACATTGGTGTAATAAAGCCATATCTGCAAAATTACATTTCTTCTAGGCAGAGGTTTAAATATTGTACGAAGTCCGAGTATCTATACAACCTCAGATGACTTTGGTTGATTCAGCATAACATCATTATTGTAAAAAATATATATTGAAATTGAGGATATGCACTGATTACTATACGGCTTGTAAACACGATTCCTACAAATTTTCAAACAAAAATTTACTTCGAAATTTTATAAGAAACCTGCTGTATTCAATAGGTATTTTACATATACCAATTTTTTTTTTAATGTAAACTAAACTAACCAGAACACGCATACTATACGATATATATTTTTCAAATGGATTTAATGTCGTTTGTAAAAAAAGAAATTCTGAAATAAATCCAGTTTCCCAGTCTCTCGATCCAAGCAAAGTGAACCGTATTAGTACGGGAAAAATTTGAATTCGTGTTAAGGTCGTATCGGCTCTTAAATAGAAGAGTCATCAAGTTTCATATATACCTACATAAGTTGTTCGTATTATTTTTATGACTTCGATGTGATAAAAGCACTTTTGTCTTAAGGTCACAGGTGGTTTTGTTACAACAACGGTTCTGTTTAGAGACCGTGGAAAGGATATTATGTGTGTGATCAACGCTCACTGATCCCTGCAAGTTGTAAGTGTGAATTTGCGTGCCTGTTACTTGCATATGATACAATTCTGTCTATGCGTAATACCAAAACTTAGAAAATATTGTATAATATTTATAAGTTGCGTTTAAACTACTGTACATAAGAAAACGCTTCGTTGTGTGTGCTAGTATGTTATTTACTATGTAAATATTATTGTATATAATGTAAAAATGTAAACAATTTGTATATTCACTCCATTAAATAATATATCAGCGTAATATTGTTAAGTGAAGGTAAAAGTATTTTTTTCTATTTTGTTACTTTTTTCTAAATTTATTTTATAAGTAAATGTTCAGTCCTAAATTATGTTTTTTGTTTTTTATTTTTTTTTTTACCAAGTGCACCATTTGTTAGTGGAAGTCAGGCTATTCCGTCTGAAATCTTTATGTTAGGTTAAGAACAGATATCGCTGAAAATACGGGACTGAAATTACGCGCTTGTTTTGTTGTGTGTGTTTTGGACGATGGAACTAAACAAGCGCGTAACTTCTCACAATCGAGTGTAACAA